AGGAGTAGAATCTCATGTCCAGTATCGTGCATTTTTTTCCCGTTCCGTCAACATGCTGCCAATGGCTATACAAGGGACCTTTTTTCTTGTCCAGTCCATCTTGCCCTTGCAACAAGACGAAAAAAGGCTGGAAAAACCTGATGAACTTCATTGGCCAGATTAAAAACAGATTCTTATCAATGAGCCAGTGTCCTACACACCGAGTCAGAACCCACCGAGCCAGCGGTTTACCCACAGAGGTGGGTCTTTACCCACTGAGACATTGTCTTACCAACTGAGCTGGTGGCTTAACCCCTGAGCCGATGGCTTATCCAAAGAGCTGGCACCTCATGTACTGAGCCACCTTGGTTTTCGTTCTGCTCTTGTATTGCACATAAAAATGCCTTCCTGGCTAGGCACAGATTTGACCTTTAATTGATGAATGCCATTATTTAAAGTTAACCTAGATATCATGTCTTAGTAAATCGTTTTTCATTCCAGGTTTCTGCTTACACTAAACCTGATCAAGCGATAGAATCTGTCAGTTTTGATACGTTGCTTAAAGAAGCGGAGGTGTTGAAGAAAGCTGCCGAGGATGCAGGAGATAACGTCACAGCTACTACAGCTGAGGGAACTGATTCAGAAACTGAGACCAGTGACACAGATGTTGAAATGAAGGAAGAAGTAACAGATTCACAGGCTAAGAAGAAATATCCTAGAAAACCAGGCACGACTAGACGAATTCATAAAAGTTAAAATGCTAAAAGATCTACTGTTTGGACCTGCTTTCCCTCATCATATCACACGCCAGATTAACGGCTTACTGTATAACCTCCCCGTTCCAGTTCGCTTTATAAATCATTCCACTAGAAATCAGATGTACACCATTGTAACGCAAAGTATGTCACCGATCAAAATTGTCGCATTTCTCAAAGCCAACGGTGGACAGTCTGGTCGCTTTCGTTTAGTCGACAAATCAGAACTTCCGACACATAAGGACATTTTACCAGAACTTAAAAGTAGGGAAATTTTAACTAAGATCAAATCCAAATTTTAGTAGAAATTTCAATTTTGATTGGCTAAGCACTAAAACCAATCAAATTGTTGGCTTTTTTTTGCTAATAAATATAAGTGCTAGTCTAATGTCTTGTCTTAATTACATCTTCAACAGTATGGTTTTGTTTCTAATTTAAAATCCAAATATTTGTCTAAAGTCTTTACCAGTTGAGTGGTCTGATGTATGCTTTAGATCATAAGGTCTGTCATTGATTCAAGTGCCATGGTTTGTTTTGAAGGTACTTCCAACCTTATTTGTCTTATTTTCGCCAGTCATGTTTGGACCGTTTTGACTGACTTGCAGTGAAATTGACCAACTGGAGAATACTAGTAGATCATAAGGTCTGTCTAAAGTTTAGACAAATATTTGGATTTTAAACTAGATTTATAAGGGGCATTTTAAAGGGGCATTGGCGCCATTGGGTAAGATTAGATAAGAGCTGACAGTTCTCGCTATAATAGTTCAACAATAAATAATAGAAACAGAAAATGCTGAAATTTCAGTCAGATTGCTTTGCTCTGAACCGAGATATAGGTGATTCAGTTTTAGGCTACAGAGCCAATTTTCTGAAAGGTAACCTTTTCTGTGGTTCAAGTATCTGATGTGAGAATCTGGGCCCTGTTTCTCGAAATCTTAACAGTGGGAATGCAGTCGACCCTACTCTTGGAAACGAAGCTAAGCCTCTTCACTAAATGACAGACCTTATTATCCAACACGAATGCATTATCATTTGACTCCACCCCCTCCCCTGCAGTGACACATGAATGTTGTGACCAATAACCACTTTCCTGTCTTAAGGCCTTTGAAAACAGTATTCCTCATTATTAATTTGTCCCAACTAATCATGGTTCATGAATGCGTGTTCTCGATATGTTGACACTTCTACGATGGTGGGTGACTACGAGTCATGAGTGAAATAATCTTATTTCGTTTAATCTGTTATACTAATATAGAGAAAATACAATTTACATTTTATGGATATAACTTTTATGGATATAACTGTTACAACAAATAACACATCTACACAAATTTTTAAGTTGACCTCATTTCAATCAAAGTAAATACATGTACCCGTAAGTATTGTTTATATTCGCGTTACGTTTGGTAGTGGAACAGTGACACTGACATATTGTACATCGTTGACTTCAGGGTTAGGCTTGTTGTCTTCCAAAGTTAGGTTAACATCTTCCACTACACTGCAAAGTCAGTAACATCATCAAGCTAACCTTTGCTAAAAGGTTAATGTTAATAACATCCACCAATTAGTCTATACACTAAACACAAGACCTGCAGCATTCAATCTCTGTGATCTGTAAATAATTAATAAAAAAACATATGAACTTACTTCAAATTTACACACTATAACTTATTACATAAACTTTATGTAGATAAGGAAAGTGAATTTTGAGATGCACTCCAATGACAAGTAGTTGATTTACATAAAAATTTACAAAAATAAGAACTGTTAATGAAAATAATAAACTGATTTACCTCAAGATAGATAATTGGAAATATTTTCTATACTTTTCTTCTGAAAAATGAAAGGGCGTAGTTTTATTATAAAACAAGGAACATGTACTACAAAAACATATAATTATTAATGTACCCCCTCGCCAACACATACATTTGGAATTCATTTAATATAGTTAACTAAAAAAAATGTTAAAATCACAATTAATTATGATACCACAATTACAGGCTGGTAAAATCAACACAAAGCTCATACATTAGATTATAATAACCAGAATCGACTTTAAACTGATGTCTCTCACATATCAATGCCATAACTCTTGCAGTAATCATCAGATCTCGCTGAAAATCAATAGGCGTCTTGTCTCATGACCTTAAACACTGTGTATAAATTTAAAGTCAATGGGATTTTAACTTTAGCCTCTAGAGTGTTCACAAGATTTTTCAAAGTGATCAAGGGCCATAACTCTGGTAGTAATTATCGGATATCGCTGAAAATCATTAGGCTTCTTCGTCTCATGACCTTACACACTGTGTAACAATTTGGAGTCCATTGGATATTAACTTTAGCCTCTAGAGCGTTCACAAGATTTATCAAAGTGATCAAGGGCTATAACTCTGGCAGTAAATATCAGATATTAACTTTAGTCTCTAGAGCGTTCACAAGAAATTGTGGACGACGGACGTATAAAAATAAAAACAAAGTTTAAAAGAATCAACTTAATTAACAAAAACAATAATTAAACAATCAAAAACTAAACAGATAAATCAAATTCAAACGGAACAAATAAAGCAAAGAAAAGGAAAAAAGCAGTTCATTACCATTCTACATTAAAAAAATAAAGGAAATCAACTTGCGAAAAAAACTTTCATAAAATAAGAGTAAAGTAACACTAATGTTAATACTTTTTTAACGACACTACTTGGGCTCCCGGCACCCCTACACCCAAGCCTATCCACACCACAACAAAGGTCCATTTCATTGATTTTTTTCAATTTAATGGTCAAAGCCATCAAAAAAAAAAACCAACCCATTTAAAACACTGAGAAAATAATTTCAAATTCTACCTTTATAATCAAGAAATATAAACTTTAAATATGTAATATGTAATTCAGATCTAATTTTCCATCAAAATCAATGTAAATGGACCTATGTTGACCAGATAAGCAAATTACATTGATACTAACTTCAGACTTTACAATTTTGTATAGAATTCGAACATTAAATGATCATGCGACCGAACCTCCAGCATGAGGTCCCTAACAATATCTATTTAAGAATAACAGAAACCATAAATTAAAGGCGTTTTTAGGACCTGAGCTTCGACCATATTAGATAGTAAAAGCTTAATTGATTCTATTAGTTAAGTATAATATTTGAAATTAGATCTATAATATATAATTATGATTTTAATAAATCTTAGCTGACAATAACGTGCGGATTTCATTCAGTTTTAAAATTGGTACTATATAGAGCCTAGCCAGTATAGCGATTCTGAAGGGAAAATACCGCTTATGACTCATGACGTCACTCAAATATGACAGAAAAGCACTTATTTTGGTGCCATCCCACGCATTGACTGGTATATAGAGCGTTTTGATCATTTGAAACTTTGAGTTTGACCTGAAACCCTATTAATTAATAAATAGGTAATATTAATAAAACAATACTACTAGGCCTATTTATTAGTATTTAGAATATATATCATATGTAGGCCTACATACACTGTCATACAGTGCCTTTATTTACAAGTTACATCTGATTTATTAACTGATTATCAGACTTATCCATTTGTGTGTATCTCATTGATCATTCTCAGGCTCAAGTTATACTCCTGACAAGTCCACGAGTCACGATACTGTGACCCCCTGTTGGTTGCTGTTGTACTTACTTGTAGTTAAACTGTCACTACTACAACTTAAGGGGTATAAATAAAATGCTTGAAATGAAGTCGGACTAGGTAGATATCTAGGCCTAATTATAATGTAGACTTGTTTTCATATCGATTACCCGACGCCAAGACCACTTCTACTGTACTAGCACTAATTTCAATGTAGGCTACTTAGTTAGTAGTCTTACCCCAAAAGTTAGAAAAGACTTCGTCAGCAAAAAAAATTATTTACAATCGGTACATCTATGATTAAGATTTGATTTATGCAGTTTTAGTCAAATACTAGCCTACTATAAAGTAACAAACTTCATTTACATTACCCAGGTCAGAAAATCTCCTCAGAAAATAAAAGACAACTGTTAAGTGTTTGTAGCCCAATAAATATAAGAAGCTGACGCCGTTAAAAACAGTGTTAGCCTAAACATCAGAATATTGCGCCAAAAGCAAACCAGTTAAAAATATAATTTGCGGGTCACGGAAAGATAATTCTGTTTGGAAACATGGTTTGGTGTAGAGGAGTAACCGAAGTTGGCCGAGTGAAATCTGCAGCCGGTTGCCGAGTGAAAAATAGAAAGTAACTCATTGAAGATCCATTATTGTGCGTCAAAAACGCACTTTCTGAAGATGCAAGATAAATATTTAGTGACAGTCGTAGTAAGTTACAAAAGAACTGGTAGTTTAGTTTGGTTTTTATTTCATAGAAATAATTGTTTAGCCTCTTTTTACATGAAATCAGGCTGCAAATGTCGCAAACTTAAAGCCAGAACAACAAAGGCCCACAGAAGAGAACAAGCCACAAGGAAATAAATAGACTAGAAGATCCAGTCTCTTGTAATTAATTAGTTCCGTCACACAGGCATTTGAAGGAATTCAAATAAAACTTCTTACTACTGCTTGACTATATATTACAGTATATAGAAGGTTTCTCACTGGCCATGTTGTTTTAATGCGTTCATGACATTTCGTCTGCTTTAATCTCACAATACTCACTAGTTCTAACACTTCCTGTCATTTTTATTGCCAACAAAGACTTTATTTTATCATTACACACCTTCCAATGTAATTAAATTGGATATTTTACAGCATTATTAATTACGAATCAAACGTGAAGCGTGATCACTTGGCTGTTCGTATCTTGGTTCCTTTCAATATTCGCGCGTATCGCATCGTAACTTCCTGAATTATGGCCCTCTATTGTACAAAAAAATCATGTTTTTAGATTGCGGTCCCTGTAGAGGTCACAATTTTTATGCGATTAAAAAAAACCATGTGAATATATCACCATTACACATCCGATTTTGATGAAACTTAAAACATATCTTTATTTCCCAAAGATCTCAGTCTCTTTTGATTTTTGCACATTTCAGACCATAACTTTCTGGATTATTGCCGCTGATTGTACAAAAAATCCTGTTTGTTTTTAGCTTGTTGTCTATTCATCTCTTGCAAAATGTGGGCGTATCCTGCCTGGCAGCCGCTGGTTGTTTTAAGGGGTTGTAGTGAGGGGTCGCATATTTTGCTGACGAAATGTCAACATATCCTCTGTCTTAACTTAAAGACTTTGTTCCAATCCACAAAAGAAATTCCAATTAAAGATAAAGGGATGTTAAAGTGCCACCATCTTGTTGACTTGTTACTTACTACTGCATGTAACTACTAACGTACTGTCTGAACCGTCATAAATTTTAAACAGATTTCTTCGATTATGAACAAACTACTAACTTTGGTTATTATAAACTTACCTGTGTGTTTGAAATTACCTCCGGTTAAATAAAATCCATTGTACAACTAAATATCCCAGCGAATAAAAAAAGTTCTCTCTTGTAAAATTGAACTCATCACAAACTTGGACATCAAGAAATACAAAAATGGAAGCTAATATCATCACTTGTCGAGATAGATCATTTCTTATAATGGGGTCGCAGCAAGTCTTGTCTATCGTAACAGAGTTTGGCTCTTTTACGACAGTTCAAATTTTGTGTATGAATAAGCTATTGCTTTCAGACCCAGTGATGAGTTTGGGCATCTACAAACATAAGTATGCCCGTAGTCCGTTATTTTGTTTCCGTCTTGTATTCATTATTTGGTTACAGAGTTGGGTGGGATTATTTCTTTGGAACACAGGTGCAGAACACAAAAACGACATTCGTTTTACAGGCCTTGAATCTCACCCTCGAATATCTTTCATATTTCCTGATGAACTTACTCACTCCTGTCAATTAACCTTGGTGCCTGCTGTAGCCGAGGTAAATCCGTAAATGCTGATGTATTTTAAATTTGCCTCGGCAAAATTAATAGCCGTGGCCATTGAATCATTGAATAGGTATATGACATTATTTTTTTTTTATAAATACCAAAAATTATTATCAACAAATCATACCGCACATCGGTTTAATTAATTTCATGTATTTCTATTTCTCTTCAAATATTATTTCTGTTGTGCAAAAACTGTTCAGAATTTTATAATCGTGCGTCTCGGTAACACATTTAATTTCTGAAAATCCGAAATTCACAGGGCAATGTAGCCATACAATTGTACTCCCAGTTATTAGCTATATATCAATCACAAGTACAACACCATTGCCGCTCTTTGTACGCAAATTGTTTAAAAGTATGTAATACGAAGGTTGTGGACCCTCTAGAGGTCACAATTTTTATTCTAAATTAATGAAACTTGAAATGTATGTTCATGACCCAAAGATCTCGGTTCCTTTCGATATTCGCGCATATCGGACCATATCTTCCTGGATTATGGGCCCTGATTGTACAAAAAATTACATTATTTTTATACGCCCACATTTTCATGTGGACGTATATTGTCGTCGCCCCTGTCCGTCCGGATGTCCGTCCGTCCACAATTTGTTTGTGTACTCTCTACAGGTCACAGTTCTTGTCCGATTTTGACGAAACTTGAAATATAGCTTTATCCAAAAAAAATCTCGGCTGCTTTCGATATTGGCATGTATCGGATCAAAACTTCATGGATTAATGGCCCCTATTTGTACGAAAAATCACGTTTTTAGCTTGTGGACCCTATAGAGGTCACAATTTTAATCCGATTTTGTTGAAACTTGAAATGTAAGTTTATAACCCAAAGATCTCAGTTCCTTTCGATATTCGCGCATATTGGACTGTAACTTCCTGAATTATGGCCCCTGTTTGTACGAAAAATCGCGTTTTTAGCTTGTGGACCCTATAGAAGTCATAATTATTATCCGATTTAAAAAACCGTATTATTATATCACCGTTACACCCTAAGGACGACTGAGTTCGAATTTCATGAAAATCGGCCCAAAATTGACAGACAAAATGGCCGCCGTTCGTTCTCAAATAGCGTAAAAATATGGTATATCAAAGTTGTGGACCCTATAGAGGTCACAATTTTTATCCGATTTTGTTGAATCTTGAAATGTAAGTTTATAACCCAAAGATCTCAGTTCCTTTCGATATTCGCGCATATCGGACCTTAACTTCCTGAATTATGGTCCCTGATTGTACGAAAAATCGCGTTTTTAGCTTGTGGACCCTATATAGGTCATAATTTTTATCAGATTTAAAAAAACGTATTATTATGTCACCGTTACACCCTAAGGACGACGGAGTTCGAATTTCGTGAAAATTGGCCCAAAATTGACAGACAAAATGACCGCCGTTCGTTTTCAAATAACGTAAAAATATGGTATATCAAGGTTGTGGACCCTATAGAGGTCACAATTTTGATCCGATTTTGATGAAAATTGAAATACATATTAATAACCCAAAGATCTTGGTTCCTTTCGATATTCGCACATATTGGATCATAACTTCCTGAATTCTGGCCCTTGATTGTATGAAAAAATCACTTCTTTTTTGGAGCTTGTTCTCTGTCCATCTCGTGCAAAATGTGGGCGTATCTTGCATGGCAACCGCTTGTTTTTAGCTTGTTCTCTGTCCATCCCTTGCAAAATGTGGGCGTATCTTGCATGACAACCGCTTGTTCATATTTTTTGTGATAATCATAAAACTTTGAAAATGGACTAATAACCACAGAGCATTGGAATATGATCAATTAAAATTATGAAATAAAGTGTGTTTATTTATAAATGTTACAGTTGTTAGCCACAAAGTTGCGTATAATTGACAGGGATGTAATATAGTTTATAAAAATATATATAAAATACACAGGGTATTTACAATTATGGGGTGATGATGTGAAAAGCAATATTATATTTACGAGTATTTTTATAATAGGTGATATATTCATTGCACGTGAATGAAATTTAGTAGACTGACAATCAGTTGTTTCCAAATTAATGTTATTGTCTTCAGTTGGCCAAACTCAAACGATCTAAAGAGGTTATGCGCTGTTTTGATTACAACACACGTGATTGTCAAAATTTGTCAAACTTAACCCCCCTTCAACATAATACGATGGTTTAGCTCATCATGTGACATGTGTAATGTTGTGATGGACACAGTCGAAAATACAAGCAAAAACATTGACATTTCAAGAGAGAACTTTTTTTTTTCGTTGGATATTTAATTGTGCAATGGATTTTATTCAACCGGAGGTGATTTAAAACACATAGGCAAGTTTTTAATAACAATTATTCAGTAGTTTGTTCACAATCAAAGAAATCTGTTTATAATTTACCTTGGTTCAGACAGTAGTCCAAATACATGCAATGATGACCATATTATCTTCCAACTCAAAATAGTCAAACTTGTGATCTACTCAAAATACAAGTATTATCATGTAAACAAATTTTTAATTTTCATCTATGACTCTTAATCTGACAGAACTGATAACAAAGACCTTCTGATGACCATCAAAACATTCTTCACATTACACTAATGAGCTAAGGATTAATTCCAAATAAAGCCTACTCTTAATATATTATCTAGCTTACCCAACGTGTTCCATTTTGAAGTTTAATTTAGCATCTGTATATATCTTCAAATTGAAATTGTGAATTTTTTACATATATACTATTCTACAAATTTATTCTTTCATTTTTTGTTTTATGTGTACATCATTTATTTATTTCTAACTCAAGTAATTTTTGCTACATGTATTATATTATTAATGATATTATTTATCCTTTTCTAGGTTTGAAGCTTCCTCTTTATTTGACCAATTCTTCAATTTGAATAGTAGAATTGATACAAATCAATTCAAGAACTTGTTTAATCAGTTCTTCATAATAAACCAGCTGAAAGACTGTGGCGGTGTATGTGTTAAATATAACACAAGCCGTTGTATTTGTAACGAGAATTTGTAACTTTTGTGACTGTAAAACAGGTAAAATGTCCCCCCTCTGGGAGGATCAATATTACATAAAAACTTCTATTTTTTTATGAACAATATTTTCATTTTAGGATATTTCGTTTTATTTATAACACGAGAAAAGCAAATTTTTGATTTCTAGGCTTCCCAGTTGTCTTCATGTTCTGTCTGGAAAGAGGCACTCAGCATTTTGCTATTATTAATCTTCATAATGTGAAGATTAATGTTCTGTTCCTAAAAATTTAACACCAGTTTTACACAACTTTTAACAATAAATTATTTGTAAATATTGCTTGAATAGACAAATTTTGTATTTAATTTTAAAATAATGTTATCTGGAAACAAATTTTATGCAAATTAAAAAAATTGATTTTGGAAATGTTATCTATACATGTAGCTGCATAGTGCATAATAAGGCTAGTTGTGTGTCTATTTTGTCGCTATCAGACAGACCTTTTTCAAATTTTTGAATCAGCTTTTGCTGTTGTAATTCCATTAACTATTTTGAAAATTAAATTCCATTTTGCGAAAGTTGTTTTACTTTGACTAATGTTTAGTGCTTGTGACTCGTTGATGACTGTACCTACAGGTATGATTAAGAAATTAACTATCCTGTATAAGTTGATTATGTAAAAAGTTTGAGCAAAAGTAGAATATTTCTAATATGAAATATCATCTGCATTTCTTAATTGTGATAATAATTAAGAATGCAAATTTTGTAATCAGTGAGAGTATGCAAAAATGTAACAAAGATTTGTTAACTGTGTGAAGTTCAAACTCTTCAAACAATTTTAGAAGAAAATAACAGATTTTGAATGAGTACCTCTATTAATATCAAAAGCATATCAAATCTTATTATTTATAACTTTGTTATAAAAGTTATTTACCGGTACTTGACTGAATATTTTTTTCAAAATAAAACCATTATTGTCTATTGTCTCTGCTTCCTGCTATTTAATCATTTTTTATATCAATAAAGGTAGTGAGTGATCTGAAATATGAATTCCTTTCATGGAGGAAGGGGCAGAGGTATGCAACTGGGTGGCAGTCATGGTGCTGGCCGTAGTAGAGGGATAAGCAATGCTCGTCTAAATACTTATGGCGTAAATAGTTTGGCTGGACAGGGAGGCTATCGTATGGTTCCACGCAGAGCAAGAGAAGGTAAAAATACTACCGTAATATCTACGACATATATGCATGTAGGTGTACTGTCCTTAAACTGGTAGCACATTATTTCGGTCCCGCTACCTTTCCTATCAATCTGACGTGAAACAGAATAATTGCAATCCTTGAACTTACAGGGACAAAATGTTATTTTGTAGAGACTGACATCATATTTTGAACTTCCAGAGCTGATTTTATCTGACATTCTTAGAAAAAAAGACATTTTATATTTGAGGTACATGTACAGATGTATGGTTCTTCTCATCCATGTATGAATGAAGAAATAACTGTTAAAATTTAAATTATTGAATGTTTGTTTTGTAGAATTTCTGATTATTTCAAATTACTTGGGATGACCATTTTCAAAAATGCGTAAATTATATATTTGTCTTGTTTTTAGCTCCTGAATATGAAGATTATTCAGGTTAGTTTGACTTTCTAGAGTATGGTATCTGGAGTTTGATAACAATCAGTTTGATAATTAACTTGAAATATTAATAATATATTTTTCGATAATCAGTTTTGATATGCCCACTTTTTAATGTGGTTATATATTATAAGTTTTAGTGATTCTTTAGCCCATGATGTTTAGTCTGATGTGATGAATTGTAGCATGTTCTTCAAATGGTTATGCATAAATGTTACACAGGAACGAGTTAGAAAATCTCTGAAAATACAATATAATGTGTAAGACATTTCTACATAACATTTTGGAACAATATAACAAATCTGGCAAAACCCAGATCAACATACGTTTTTTGATTTAATATAATAAACAATCATTAAATGTTAACAAAATATGATATTTATTTATCTACTTCAGGTTATGAAGATGATCTGGGCTATGCAGGTAAAATATATGATTATATTTAACATTTCTCTATTTAAAACAAATAGATATGTGTGAAATATTGTATGTAAAAAGCAGGTTATAGTTGCTATAACAATAGCTATAAATTCATACCTCCCAAAATGATCTGGTTGATGTTGAGTGGATGTTACCCTACACTATCTCATAATGAAATATATTTGGTTCAATGTTATCTTGATCCTGTTACAACCAAATGGTGAATTACTTTACGACTAACATTTCCAAATCTGTGTGACTTTCAACACTGTCTCAGTCTTATTTGTGCAATACATAAATATCTGACTAATTGACCAAGCTCACTTTTAATTTGAAGGTAAACGACCAATTGATGAGTTGGATCCTATGGGTGTTAAAAGACAGAGAACATCATCTGTACAGATGATGAATATGATGATACAAGATTCCCAGAGGGAGTTGGCCAACTTAACATTCAATAACACATCTCGTCATGGTGGAGATCACTTAAGTCAAGTATTGAACAAACAGCAAATGTTACTGGAGATGCAGTCAGAGATGATAGCTGGAATGGGGGATGGTGAGGAGCCGTATGGTAGAATAGGTGGACGACAGATTAAGAGCGATTACGATAATCCATACATGAATGTTCAAGGAGCTTCTTCCGGCATGCATGGTCCGAAACGGGGCATGATGGCAGACCACGGACGAACACCATTAGGAAGGATAAGAGATGACTTAGGGAGTGGAACAAGGGCAAGAGGTCGTGGTGCAATGGCGATGAGCACTATGGGCGTGGTGCCCAAAAGTTCCATGCTTGGTATGAGTAGGGACACCATGGGAAGCAGGAGCAGGGGTCCTATGAGAGGAACGGGTGGAAACTCCATGAGTGCTAGGGGTATGAAAAGTAGGCGTGGTAATGAAATAAATCCTATTAGAATGAGAGGTGGTTATCAATCTAGAGGTCAGATGTATAATAACCGTATGGATAAAGAAGAATATGACATGTATGATTTCTACAATCCTTATCTAGATTATGAATATGGGGAATCTTATGGGGCTGCGACTCCGGCACCAGAGTATTACGTCAGCATTGAAGGCAAACTAAATAATTTCATAAAGATTTTGTTCGAGTATGTCGATTTAAAAGCTCCTGTTCAAGCTATTGAAACTACAAGACATGATAACACAGATTTTGTCAAAATTCGTACTGAATATCTCGTCACTGAAGATTTAGACAAGGATCCTTATATTGATGGGCATTTGAAAATGAATGGTGTTGTTTTAGCTCGAAAACAAGGCTACACAAAGCATCAGGTGAAGGATGAAGTTTATGCTGAGGCCATGTACAACCTACTGACAAAGTCAGTCAGTGAAATATTCTCCATTTCCAATAAATTGTATAAAAAAATGCCAGACGAAATTAAAAGTTTATCAAAGGATAAAGCGAATCCCGGCAAAAGAGATCACAAATTTATTTTATCGCGTTTGAAAGGCTTAGTTACCACACTGAGGGAAGAGTTTCCAGAAACTTATGGTCGTGGATCAAAAGAAAATTTAATTCATGAGATTGATGTAGCATGTGGTAATTGTGATGCAGGAATCACTCTCGTCTTTAAGAAGAACGGTGATTCTATTACTTGTGATTTATATGCTGATGATTTGATGTTAGGAAGTGGAGAAGAGGCTGATAAACGAGCAGCTACAAGAAATGCTTATCGAAACTCCAAAAGACTTTTGATGAATTGGAATAATCCTGTTGATAGAATTATAAGAGAAAATAAACGTCTGCAAGATGTCAAAATTATGGATCCATCTATTCTGGATGTACAATATAAAGGCAGAAATCATGAGAGAGGATCAAATTTAAACCTTTTAAAGACAACTTGTGCTGATACATATGCTACTGATATTTTAAACAAACGAGATGTAATAGCCTATGAACATGCTGATGAACCGAGTACCATGCCATATAAAGTTCTAGAAGATACAGCTTGTTCCAACCGTATGTTACTGGAGTTTGTAACATATTGTGCTAATGAAGGTGGACCAACAAGGTATGATATTTATGCAGTTTGGTTGGTTAATCTATAATTTTTAGCTCTAACTAGTCTAACTGGCTGCCTAGATCTGATACATGTAGTGTGTCCTTAGTCTTTTCATAGCATCTACATGTACTAAGAGTGCTGCTTTTCATATATGTATTCAAAATGGCTGCTCAAGAAATCTATGAAATATATTTTCATTTTAAATGTTGTCTTTTATTTAGGTGTTTGATATTTCTACAAGGAGACTTGATTGCAGATGCAATGGGTTTCAACAGAATTAAAGCTAAAGCTAATGCTGCTAATAAAGCCATCCATTATTTACGTACAAACTGTACAGTTATCCAGGTAATCACAGTTATATTTAAACAGACATTATGCAACAGCTAAATCTGATTATTGCAGGTCTTTCATTGGGCTCTTGGGGACAGAATGGAATTTACTGACTTATGGCCAACCATATCAAAAGTGAAAGTATGTAAATTTGCATAAAAAGTACCACACGGTGGCTAATTGGGTAAGACGCTGGCTTGCTAGTCTGGAGGTCACGTGTTCGATCCCTGCATTGGCAGAGAAAGTTCATTGGGATTCTCGACTGGTTTCCCCTTGTCAGTGGTGCCGGACGGAGGGCCTGACAAGGACAGCTGTCTAGTTGTTCGGATGGGATGAAAAACCGAGGTCCCATGTATACTTTAGCATGCACTTAAAAGATCCCCTGGCAGTTGGAATTTGGTATAAGAGTCGGCTATAGTTCAGCTGTCCAGGCATAATTCTCCTCATAGCACAATGTATGGCATATGCCTGTCTTCATTAGCCCAATCGAGGCAGAACATTAGGTCAATAAACCCCATTTCAGTTCATTTCATTTATACCACATTGCTTCAATCAATTGAACAAGATTAGGAGTGAGGTTTCTAAGGGTCTTCCATTACAGGTAACCAGATCCAAATATAGAAATGAGATTACTCCTTTCAAAAAGGACTTAAACTTAAAATTTGTAAAACTGGCATATCTTTTGAATGGCATAAAAAAAAACTTTGGTGGTTCCTTCAACATGATCATTATTTATTGGGGTTTTTTTTTATTTCAGACCAGTGCTAGAGATTATACAAATATAACGTTATCCTTTTCCGAGGCCAAAGAAAAGGCCCTGTTGCTAAAAGCTGATGAACCAGAATTAGCTAGAGATTGGGATCTCTCTAACTATCCTGAACCTGTTAGTGATGATTCTAAACCTGATGACCTCTCACCTTGGGTTGATCAGGTTTTGGAAAATATTGTTGCAGATTTCAGTAAAACAGAGGGTCTTGAAGAACTCATATTTGACAAAGATTTTCCAAGGTTCCATATTCTGCGATTGAAAGAACTGAGTAAGAAATATCCAATTCATGTGGTCATAAAGAAAGGCGATGATAAGGCAGCAAGGACAAACTGTTCAGTGGTTCAAAAATCTTTTCTCAAAAAATCGTCTCCCATAGATGTAGTCAACTTGTTGAAAAAATTAAATAACAAAAGTGGTCGGTTTAAGTTAATACAATGGAAGGATGAAAATGGTACTATTGTTAAATGTTAAAAGTTTTATAACAACTAACTATATTGTTGGTTGGGTTCCATATTTCTTGAGATCTATATGACTTCCGGTCAGAAATAATTAGTTACTAACACCCCAAAAAAACACTTTAATATCTTCAAATTATAAAAATTTTGCCATTATTCTGTTACACTCCAGGAATTTTTTTTTCTGTTCCTTATTGCTGTTAAAAAGAATCCTACCAACAATAAATGATTTCTTGGGGTATATCATTTTATGTTATCCTTTTTTATTCTTGTATTACATTATATAATCAATGCTCAAACAATTACCTTGTCTGGAAAATAAATTGACAGAATTCTTCCTAGTGCTGAATAAAACAGTATTTAGTAGTTTTTCTCCCGCTAGCAGCTCATATCTTTTAAAGTCTGTGTAAATGCTTATTAATCTAAATATTTATTGTATGTTTGATGAAAGATTGTTACTTGATGTATCACTGAACCTCCTATCACACACAGCAATCATAAAATGATCACATAGATTGTGTTCTAAACAATTCATTATATTTTATTTACACAATAGTTGTTTTCCCCCCATCAAAGTCTTCATCTTATAAATGGCGAATTTATCAGATGTTGTATTTTTTTTTTTTTTTTTTCAAATGGTAAATGTTAAAGATTTTACTTCAAGATGTGAAGTTGTACATTTGTCACAATAGTTGTTTCCCCTCCATCAAAGTCTTCATCTTATAAATGGTGAATTTATCAGATGTTACAGTTTTGTATTTTTCAAATGGTAAATGTTTAAGATGTGAAGGTGTAGATTTTCTATATATGCTGAGCGAAGGTATACTGCTAAGCTGTCATAAATTTCTTTGTGCATCATGTAATATATTTCACATTGAATAGTTGTATAGATATAGATGATGTACATCTAATTATAATGTGTAATATAAGAACATTATGTTATCTTTATATTTGTACATTCTTCTTCATACTTCGTGAATAGATCTCTGGCCTAAATGGCCACCATATTCAAACATTAGTATACTTTTTTGCAATCTGATTGAAACACAGATCCTATTTCGTTCCTTTTTTTTATAGTTCAAAATTTTGTTTTACTTGTCTTTACTACACTAGGATCTGGAAGAGTTGCTATATAACCCACGTTCTGGATGATGTGAGGGATTCGCCAATGAAATGGTGAGTTGCAAGTAACTGTGGGTAACCCACTAGAAACATCAACGCTGATTGGTTAATCAAATGTCTGACATCATAGGGTCAAAAACCACTCGTATGACCTCTGACAGGACCTCCCACTACAACTGGTCAGATCTTCATGTAGTAGAGGCCATAGAAAGTATAAAAAAACTAAACGAAATATAGATCTGTATTTTAATCAGATTGACTGTTTTGTAATGCGGCTCTACACCGTTTTACATCTGTCATACACACAAAGACTAAATAAAATTTGTCAATTTTTATACGCCCACATGGAAATGTGGACGTATATTGCCGTCGCCCCCTTCTGTCGTCCACAATTTCTTGTAAACGCTCTGACTCCAATAGTTATTATCCGATTGTTTTAAAATTTATAAATGTGGTTTACATTAGCGAGATGAGGAAGCCTTTTTAATTTCAATAATTTCTGTTCATTACTTCTAGAGTTATGGCCCTTGTTTCACTTTGTTGCACTTTGTGAACACTCTAACCTCTAAAGTTATCTGCCGATCAGTATGAAATTTTTATGTGTCATTTAAGTTCGTAAAAAGAACAATTGTATTGAATTTGAGCAATTTCGGTTTATTATGTCTAGAATTATGGCTCCGTTTCACTTTATTGACCCTTGTGAACGCTCTAATGCCGAAAGTTATCATCAGATCTTTGTGAAAATTATATGCATTATTAAAATTAGTGAAACCATGAAGCCTTTTGAATTTCAGCAATTTACAATAATTACTTCTAGAGTAATGGCCCTTGTTTCACTTTGTTCAACCTTGTTAATGCTCGATTAATGAAAGTTATCATCCAATATGTATGAAATTTATATGCATCCTTTAAATTTGTGAAATGGAGGTCTATTGAATTTTAGCAATTTCTGTTAATAATTTCTAGAGTTATGGCTCTTGTTTTACTTTGTGAACCTTGTGAACGTTTGAATGACAAAAGTGACCATCCGATCTGTATGAAATTCATATGCATTATTTAAATTAGTAAAACGAAAAAGCCGGTCAAATTTAAACAATTTCTGTAGACTACTTCCAGAGAGTTGAGGCCCTTGTTTCAGTTTGTAGAACCTTGTGAACCCTCAAACTACATAAATTATATTCTGATCTGTATGGAACTGTCTTGTAAAGGCCCCCAATTTACTTCCAAAGGAATAAATATGCGACAACACCTGTCGACCGCTCGGGACAATTTAGCTGCTGTGGTCGTATGTTTTGTTGCCTGGCAGCCTATCTTATTAAATGGAAGCATAATCAATCCTTAACAAAATTCTCCAAGTATACTTCGTGTTTTCGACTAAAATCGTTGATTCAGGACTTAAAAATGTTGGTCAACTAGTTTAGTGTCTGTTCTCAAGCCGAGCTATACTAACTGTAGACAGTCTAAATTTGGTATGGTATTTGGATAGACAGAGATGATGTAGATCTATTTATAATGTTTAATATCAGAACATCATGTTATCGTTAAATTTGTTTTGTAAATTATAAGTGTAATTTGCCTGCTTCAAAAGCCAAATAAAACATGAATGATAAATTTTGTTTTTTATATGAACTATTGTAAATATTCACAAATATGACAAATACGGGTTCAAACTACATGTAAACCCTAGATTGTTGTCTCAGTGAGGAAGTGTTTATTCAGTCTGATCTGACAAATATAACAAGGTCCCGTTATATTGGCATGCACGTAAATGAACCCTTGAGATTGGGAAATTTAGTCAATATCCTGGCTTTTGACTGTCATTGCTGGGAGCAAATTCTTGTGAACCAGAGGATCAGAAATGGGAGTCACTGGGACAGAATTTTGAGATCTGCCTGTTTTGTGCGAGTTAACAGAAAATTTGTAGTCTGTTGCCTCACGCACTAGTGGTACTACTAACTGGGCGGTTGACTATAACCATGAATATAATAGATGATATGTAATTAAGATTTTAATCTTTTGGGACTGGTCCTAAATTTCCTGGCAATGGCATTTGAGTTCATCGATGGGAGCAAATTCTTGTGAACGAGAGGATAAAAAATAGGACCGAATCTGGAGGCCTACGTTTTAATTCCGTCTGTTTTGTGAGACTAACTTGCCTGTTTTGTGAGAGTTGACAGAATATTGACACCCCACTCACTAGTGCTAAGTACTACTAACTGGGTGATTGACAATGAATATAGATTTGTATCCAGGATTTTCCAAAATCATTCATGCTCATCTAATATTGATTTGACATGAAAAGAACAATTTAATGGCCATCTTTCATATCAATTTCCCTTATTTATGATTACCAGTTTGTAGGTTCAATTCATTTGTCACCAAATTATTTCTTCAACTGATCATAAATTATGGTCTGTCAAGTGGCATGGTTTCAATCCCACACTTGTAGGTGACAAGTGCCCGTTTCCCTCTGATTTAGGTCAAAATAAAGTGTTGATCTGATGTAAGTGTTGTTATGATTAATAAATCTTCAATTTTGCATTTTTACTATTTCTGCTTTCGTTTGTTTGACCATGAAAACAAAATCTCTATTTTCAATATTGAAATAATTTACATACCGGTAAGTAAAATACTACATGTAGAAAGATTTTCATCTGGCGTAACAGTTAACATCAGATCAACTCCCTCTGGTTTCAAAAAATCAAAATCGCTGACGTGTTCAGGACAGCAAATAAGGAAGTTATATATGGCCAAAAAAAAAACACAACACAGTTTATATGGAAATACAATCACTGGTTTATAAGTATAGAACGACGTTTCGACAAATATTCTCTTATCGTTATCAAGCATTTGTGCTTGATAACGATAAGAGAATACTTGTCGAAACGTATGCTTGATAACGATAAGAGAATACTTGTCGAAACGTCGTGCTATACTTATAAACCAGTGATTGTATTTCCATATAAACTGTGTTGTGTTTTTTTAATGTGTTCAATCGCTAAATGTCACTCAAGGATTATATATGGCCAAGGCATAATCTGAACAGAGGACACATTATATACTTGCAAAGATTCTGAATGCACCTGTAAAGACCTATACTGAGCGTCATGGAAAACGCATCACTTAGTTTTTCGTATAACAAAATGATCCTGTAAACATATCTTATTTATTTTGCTTCTTAATGTGAACAATATTCAAATGGGAACACTATCAATAACAACACATTTGTACACTTATGGATGTTTAATCTGTAATCAACGGTACAAAGTCAGAGGGGTCAAAACCAAAAGTACGACACAGATGTCAGTAGCGCGTGTGTCCTCCACGGGCTCTTCCGCACGCTGTGCAGAGACGTCGCATGGAATTAACCATTACATCTGTCATACACACAAAGACTAAATAAAATTTGTCAATTTTTATACGCCCACATGGAAATGTGGACGTATATTGCCGTCGCCCCCTTCTGTCGTCCACAATTTCTTGTAAACGCTCTGACTCCAATAGTTATTATCCGATTGTTTTAAAATTTATAAATGTGGTTTACATTAGCGAGATGAGGAAGCCTTTTTAATTTCAATAATTTCTGTTCATTACTTCTAGAGTTATGGCCCTTGTTTCACTTTGTTGCACTTTGTGAACACTCTAACCTCTAAAGTTATCTGCCGATCAGTATGAAATTTTTATGTGTCATTTAAGTTCGTAAAAAGAACAATTGTATTGAATTTGAGCAATTTCGGTTTATTATGTCTAGAATTATGGCTCCGTTTCACTTTATTGACCCTTGTGAACGCTCTAATGCCGAAAGTTATCATCAGATCTTTGTGAAAATTATATGCATTATTAAAATTAGTGAAACCATGAAGCCTTTTGAATTTCAGCAATTTACAATAATTACTTCTAGAGTAATGGCCCTTGTTTCACTTTGTTCAACCTTGTTAATGCTCGATTAATGAAAGTTATCATCCAATATGTATGAAATTTATATGCATCCTTTAAATTTGTGAAATGGAGGTCTATTGAATTTTAGCAATTTCTGTTAATAATTTCTAGAGTTATGGCTCTTGTTTTACTTTGTGAACCTTGTGAACGTTTGAATGACAAAAGTGACCATCCGATCTGTATGAAATTCATATGCATTATTTAAATTAGTAAAACGAAAAAGCCGGTCAAATTTAAACAATTTCTGTAGACTACTTCCAGAGAGTTGAGGCCCTTGTTTCAGTTTGTAGAACCTTGTGAACCCTCAAACTACATAAATTATATTCTGATCTGTATGGAACTGTCTTGTAAAGGCCCCCAATTTACTTCCAAAGGAATAAATATGCGACAACACCTGTCGACCGCTCGGGACAATTTAGCTGCTGTGGTCGTATGTTTTGTTGCCTGGCAGCCTATCTTATTAAATGGAAGCATAATCAATCCTTAACAAAATTCTCCAAGTATACTTCGTGTTTTCGACTAAAATCGTTGATTCAGGACTTAAAAATGTTGGTCAACTAGTTTAGTGTCTGTTCTCAAGCCGAGCTATACTAACTGTAGACAGTCTAAATTTGGTATGGTATTTGGATAGACAGAGATGATGTAGATCTATTTATAATGTTTAATATCAGAACATCATGTTATCGTTAAATTTGTTTTGTAAATTATAAGTGTAATTTGCCTGCTTCAAAAGCCAAATAAAACATGAATGATAAATTTTGTTTTTTATATGAACTATTGTAAATATTCACAAATATGACAAATACGGGTTCAAACTACATGTAAACCCTAGATTGTTGTCTCAGTGAGGAAGTGTTTATTCAGTCTGATCTGACAAATATAACAAGGTCCCGTTATATTGGCATGCACGTAAATGAACCCTTGAGATTGGGAAATTTAGTCAATATCCTGGCTTTTGACTGTCATTGCTGGGAGCAAATTCTTGTGAACCAGAGGATCAGAAATGGGAGTCACTGGGACAGAATTTTGAGATCTGCCTGTTTTGTGCGAGTTAACAGAAAATTTGTAGTCTGTTGCCTCACGCACTAGTGGTACTACTAACTGGGCGGTTGACTATAACCATGAATATAATAGATGATATGTAATTAAGATTTTAATCTTTTGGGACTGGTCCTAAATTTCCTGGCAATGGCATTTGAGTTCATCGATGGGAGCAAATTCTTGTGAACGAGAGGATAAAAAATAGGACCGAATCTGGAGGCCTACGTTTTAATTCCGTCTGTTTTGTGAGACTAACTTGCCTGTTTTGTGAGAGTTGACAGAATATTGACACCCCACTCACTAGTGCTAAGTACTACTAACTGGGTGATTGACAATGAATATAGATTTGTATCCAGGATTTTCCAAAATCATTCATGCTCATCTAATATTGATTTGACATGAAAAGAACAATTTAATGGCCATCTTTCATATCAATTTCCCTTATTTATGATTACCAGTTTGTAGGTTCAATTCATTTGTCACCAAATTATTTCTTCAACTGATCATAAATTATGGTCTGTCAAGTGGCATGGTTTCAATCCCACACTTGTAGGTGACAAGTGCCCGTTTCCCTCTGATTTAGGTCAAAATAAAGTGTTGATCTGATGTAAGTGTTGTTATGATTAATAAATCTTCAATTTTGCATTTTTACTATTTCTGCTTTCGTTTGTTTGACCATGAAAACAAAATCTCTATTTTCAATATTGAAATAATTTACATACCGGTAAGTAAAATACTACATGTAGAAAGATTTTCATCTGGCGTAACAGTTAACATCAGATCAACTCCCTCTGGTTTCAAAAAATCAAAATCGCTGACGTGTTCAGGACAGCAAATAAGGAAGTTATATATGGCCAAAAAAAAAACACAACACAGTTTATATGGAAATACAATCACTGGTTTATAAGTATAGAACGACGTTTCGACAAATATTCTCTTATCGTTATCAAGCATTTGTGCTTGATAACGATAAGAGAATACTTGTCGAAACGTATGCTTGATAACGATAAGAGAATACTTGTCGAAACGTCGTGCTATACTTATAAACCAGTGATTGTATTTCCATATAAACTGTGTTGTGTTTTTTTAATGTGTTCAATCGCTAAATGTCACTCAAGGATTATATATGGCCAAGGCATAATCTGAACAGAGGACACATTATATACTTGCAAAGATTCTGAATGCACCTGTAAAGACCTATACTGAGCGTCATGGAAAACGCATCACTTAGTTTTTCGTATAACAAAATGATCCTGTAAACATATCTTATTTATTTTGCTTCTTAATGTGAACAATATTCAAATGGGAACACTATCAATAACAACACATTTGTACACTTATGGATGTTTAATCTGTAATCAACGGTACAAAGTCAGAGGGGTCAAAACCAAAAGTACGACACAGATGTCAGTAGCGCGTGTGTCCTCCACGGGCTCTTCCGCACGCTGTGCAGAGACGTCGCATGGAATTAACCAATGTTTGAATGAAGGCCTGGGGCAAATTGTTCCATTCTTGGACAAGAGCAGCTTCTAAAGCAGCAATGGTGTGCATCTGTGGTCTCCGATACAGACGGCGTCCAATCTCATCCCAGACATGTTCTATCTGTGCCATGTCCGGATAAAGATGAAAGCGACTCTCATCACTGAAGAGCACACTTTGCCAGTCTACTCTTCTCCATGTCTGGTGTCCTTGAGCCCATATCAAATGCCGCTGACGGTGATGATCCCTGAGGATAGCTCCAACATAAAGTCATCGTGCACGGAGCCCTACTTCTCTTATACGTCTTACGGTGTTGGCACTTACTGGTCCTTGTCTTCCGACGACTGCTGCACCTGTTCGAGTTGCTGGGCGGAATCTGTCACGCAGATGAGTGACCCGGATGTAGCCGTCTTGAGCCTGGGTTGTAACGCGTTGTGGACCAGGACGTTGACGGTCACATGTCGATCTAGTAACTCAAACACGTTCCACCAACCTTACAATAGTGGACTGATGACAATTGAAGTGTCTGACATGCCAGCCCTGGACATTCCCATGGCTTCATTCCGTTGATTTTCAGTAAGTCTCTGCATCTCTAGCTCGATTCCTTCACACGTCCAACAACAGATTACGACAGATTGACGTTTCACAGTTCATGTACTGCACATTAAGTTGAAAACATGCTTTTAAAGGGCTCACACACAATGCTGCACGTGAATATTGGGTTTTTCATGTGCATCTCGTGCAATTTTTTTTAGTGCACACGGGCCGATATTTTTTGCGTTTGGGAGCATTGTGTGAAACAATAGTTCATAGTATTGCATAATATTATAAATACAAAACCACCTAGTAATAAAATATTTGGGAAAAAAAAGTGATGCGTTTTCCATGGCGCTCAGTATATATTATTCGCCTTTCTATTCTCTTAAAAAAAAAAAAGAAGTGCCATTCGCCTTGTTGCAACAGGAACCGCGACACATCGCTGAACCAAACTCGTCTTCAGCGTTGCTGGGGCAATACCCTGTGTGTCTGAATCCATTGAAGTCGGATTTGACGGTGTAGGCCTATTTCAAAACAGCTCTAATGGCACATCTGGCTTGTAATCCAGTTTTACGTAGGCGTTTATGGACTGCAACTGATTTTGAAACTGAGAACCCCAGGATTTTAAAGGCCTTAGATTTGAGTGTCATGTGAAAAGCTTGCGAAGTTGTTAAACTTGTGTGTCTTGGTGCAATCAAGCAAAAACATCTTTTTTACCATACATAATGACATTAAAACAAGTAAGAATTATGGAAACAACAATCCCCTTCAAATACAAAAATGATGAAAAATGGGCTGTGCGTTTCTTTTTTGGAAGAGTATATTTCCCCACCCTCTTTGGTGTCTGTTGACACTGTTATCAGATCCCTTGTTAAAGAAGCCCATTCATTATGAACCATCTGCATTGGGTATTTGAACTTGTAACTGTATTTCAATATTCGGTAGAACTGGACATTATCAATGGATAGGTTAAATCATTATAAATACAGAATGAACTGGGTCCATACTGAACAATATAACAAGATTGAAATAAACAAGCTTAATTCCATATATTTATTGGTAACAAATAAACATAGGTGTTTTAAGATGATGTATGTAAAATGAAGGGTTTTATATAACATGTACATGAAGACAGACAATTTAATATCTTCATCACTTTCATAAATATATCAAGTTATTTAAAATCACAAAAATCACCAATTCTACTATTTACTGAGACAATGATTACTGAAATATAATACTGATGTCTATCTCGAATCAAACAATACATTAGTTATCATATGGCTGCAATAGTGAAAATACATACCTGAATTAGAATTTCGTTTAAATGTGTACAATAAACTATGAATAAAACTCTTGATATAGACCATACAATATAAACCAAATATCTATTTGTATAAACATTAGTGAATTTCCATAATTGTATCCATTTTTTTAAAAATTGCCATTAGAAAATGTAATTAGCTGCAGCCCTAACAATGAAATATGTGAAAAACCATAAACTACAACTGAATATTTACATAATCATCAAGGAATGTCTCTCGATCTTTCTAAAACAGTTAATAATATGAATATAGTGTGGATGGAATATAGTAGTAATAGCACGATACACCTAAAAAGGACATGTTCTCCATCTTTCTATTATAATACCAGACACAAAAAAATAACTAAATGAACAAAATCTTTTAAAATAGCAAACAGTACACAATGTTAAACTAACCCACAATATGAAAATAAAATGAAATCAAGCTGATTATAATCTATGTATTTAATGATGAATATAAAATGATAAAATTAGAGAATGATTTGAAATGATTTTTATGAAATATTTCAAAGTTTAATTTGCACAAGACAATGAAATCTATCTACATCAAAAGAACATAATGGGATTTTTTTTTTTCACTATAAATGTAGATAAAGACAATAATTTGCCAACAATCTGTCATCATTGAGATTTATCGACTTCCATGGATTCCACTTCCCCATTCCCATTTTTCTCAACTTCTTCATCCCCTTCTTTCGTCTTTTTAACCTTCTTGGGTGTAGCATCATCTTGACCATGACTATCATCTTTATGGTCGTCACCATGTTCTATCTCTTCTCCATCATCTTCCTCTTCTTCAATTAATACCAGAGGTTTATCAGAGCCCTCAACTTTCAGCTAAAAAATATAATTGATGAAATTAAAGTATTTCACACTGTGAAGATCAATGGAAAGCAACACCTTGTCAACACAACACTTCAGTCATTTAGAGACTAATATTTGGTTATTGTTTGCCCTCACAGCAGCATTTCTGTCCACTATTTACAAATTGGAACTGTTGCGGTTTTATTTACATGTAGGCTACTATAGTTTTCTATACTATGCCAAAGACTACATATAGGTAACATATAGGTACTTTGTCAGCCCGACAGGTGCTTTGGTAGACAAGTGGTAATCTTAGTCCACATCAGGATTCAAACACAGGACAATACTTTTGAAATTGTAGGTAATGAGGGCATTTACAAGGCACTAGAAACTAACCAAGAGTAACAGTCTAAATAATTAAAATTGAATTGGCTTCTAGTTATTTATGGTGGTAAGATTTATCATACAGTATGTACTATATAGGCTTTTTCATCTCATCACCTATAACACTGTATAAACTTAAAGTCAAATCGATGACCACTTTTGCCTCTAGAGCAAGAGCACCCAGAAGATATGAACTAACCAATGGCAAAAACTATGGTAATTACCAGAATTTGTTTCAAATAAATAGGATTCTTCATCGAGACCATTTAAGGTCTATACACTGTAACCTAGGTATCATTTAATCTTGTGTATCTAGTACTAATTTCTTTCACATTCGTTCAATAGCAAATTTTTGTTTAAAAATTTGTAACCAGCTGTTGCTAGGCAAGATACACCCACATTTTGCAAGAGATGAATAGAGAACAAGCTAAAAACAAGAGATTTATAGTACAATCGGGGGCCATAATCCAGAAAATTATGGTCTGAAATGCACAAATATCCAAAGGGTTTGACAGGTTTGGGATATAAAGATAAGTTTTAAGTTTCATCAAAATCAGATAAAAATTGTGACCTCTAGAGGGTCCACAACATTTGTATTACATGCTTTTACGCAATTTGCGTACAAAGAGAGGCCATTTTGTCGGACAGTTACATTTCGATTTTCCCGAAATACAAATTCAATCTTCATTATGGTGGAATGGTGATATATTTGAACGTTTTTTAAAATCAGATAAAAAATTGTGACCTCTATAGAATCCACAAGCTAAAAATGCGATTTTTCAAACAATCAGGGGCCATAATCCAGGAAGTTACGTTCGGATGTGCATGATTATCAAACGGAATCAAGATCTTTGTGATATATATATTTTAATTTTCACTGAAATCAGATAAAAATTGTCAGTTCTAGATGGTACAGAATATTAGTATTACATACTTTTACACTATGCGCATGGGGAGCAGCCGTTTTATCAGTTAGTTTTGGTCTGATTTCTACAAAATACCAAGTCAACTGTCATTGTGGCGTAAATGTTGACAGAAAACAAGCTAAATAAGCAGTTGTGTGGGAGAATATAGATCATTCAAGAATTGTACTGTAGTCGGAAATTGACAGGTTGGCTTAGCGAGTAGAGAGAGGGAAATGGGTTAAACATCTACTTGACACAAACTAGGTCATTTCAGGACTAACATATGGTTCCAATTTTATTTCAATAATTTGCTTGTGAGTAGGGGTCTTTAGCAGTGGGAGGACCTGACTAGGTTGGTCAGGCGACCTCTACTCCTTGTCACGTTCAACCAGGGAATCGAAACCACGGCAACTGAGTCAATGAGAGACCTTATGATGCAGTGCACACGTCCCAACCATTCAGCCCCCCCCCCCCCGGTAACCGGACTGTCAAATATGATGGAAATATTATGAGATGATATGCTCTTAAAAGAACCCTTGCAGTTTAAATTCAAATTAAGAGTAGGTCGTAGTTGTGATCTCACTAGCATCCACAAGGTAATGACGCGATTTTTCATACTATCAGGGACCATAATCCTGACAGTCTGATATACCCCAAGTATGAATAGGAACCAAGATCTTTGTGATATAAAGATAAATTTAAACTTTCATCAAAACTGGATCAAAATTGTAGGCTGTAGAGGGTCCAGACCCTTGATATACCATATTGTCGAAGTGTCAAAAGGGTCTAAGAATTTCTAAACATTAAGAAATAGAACCTTTTGCATTTCAAAATTTCCACAAATCAAGATACAACATTTGGACACATGACACCCAGAACAGTTCTAATTGGCGTAGAGATACACAGCTTAAGACAGATGTGCATATTAACAGGGAGAGTTTAAAAATGCCAAAAAGTGTATTTAACTAATTTCCCGAAATACACCCTTTTGACACTTCAATGACTATTTGCGCACAACGGACGGCCATTTTGTCTGTCAATTTTTGTCTGATTTTCTCGAAATTCAAACTCTTATCATAAGGGTGTAGTGGTGATATATTCACACGTTTTTTTAAATCAGATATAAATTGTGACCTCTAAGAGGAACCAAAATACAAGAAGCGACCATTTTGGATGACAGTTTTGGTCCGATTTCAATGAAATTCAAACTCGACCAAGTAACGCCGATATATTCAAACGTTTTTTTTTAAATTGGATAATAACTATGACCTCTAGAGGGACAACAAGCTAAAAACACGATTTTTCGTACAATTAGGGGGCACAATTCATGAAGTTACATGTGTGGTCCGATACATGCCAATATCAAAAGGAATTGAGATCTTTGGGAGATAGATCTATATTTCAAGTTACGTTAAAATCGAATAAAAATTGTGACCTGTAGAGTGTCAACAAACAAATTGTGGACAGACAGGTGTGACGGCATAATACGTTCACAGTTTAAAGCTGACGGATTAATTTTGATAATGAGTGTCCAATTTACAAGTATTTAATTTCCTGATCACTGTTCAAAAATTAATTATATTATATACATCAATAATCAAATGGGTTGTTTATTTTTTAACAGTGATCGAGAAATTAAACTTGTGTAAACTGGACACTCACTATCAAAATTGAATGGTCAGCTTTAAACTGAAAACAAGTACAAATTAGATGAATTTTGGTGATTTTAAATGCTTTTTACGAATTTTGAAACAAGGATTTGTGAAAGAAATTAGTGCTAAATACACAAGATTAATTGCTACCTGGATTACAGGATACACGGTATCAATTTGGGAGGTTGGATGACTGAATGGTTAGCACGCTGTATCACAAGGTCTGTGTAGTGACAATGAGTAGGGTTGCCTGCAGTGATCGAAATAAGGCCTGCCAGCCTGCCCATAATTTTCACGTCGGGCTGCCTGAAAAATTTCCCCACCAGTCCGGTTGTCAGGCTGATAAAATTGACAGATGTAATCTACTAACTCGCTCATTCTAATCTATCACTCACTGAAGCTTACTTTGCCTTTGCCATGTCTTGTTTTGATAATGAAGTTTATGAAAAGCGAGATGCGAGTTTATCAATGTTTTCTTCTATTTATAACGGTGACAGATCTTCAGTCTGTGAAGATTAGGAAATTACTCTAGTGTATCTGCCTAAATTTAAGTTATCCGTGCCGTGATTGGCCATACTTAGTAACATGGACCAATAAAGACCAATCAAAACTAGTGTTACAATCACGTTTAGGTTATCAAACAAAATGGTGTCGTAAATACGTATTCAGTTTATAAGAATGTCACAATTAAAGATTTTTAGTTTTTTTTATCAAAGTTAAAAGAAAGACAAGTTGAAAAAGACATTGAGGAAAAGGATAAAGAATATGAAAACAATAAAAGGAAGTATCAGATTAAGTGGCAGATCGAATTTCCGTGGCTGATTACCGACAAAAAGAATCTGTTTTGTCGGATATGCACAGCATGTTACGGGCCACTAGGCATATCCCAAGCAAACATTCCTGCATTGTATGACTGATACAAATGTTATTTCTTAGTTAGAGCCTAGCTGAATAAATAACGTTTGAAACAGTGATGCATTATTCTAGTTTGTTTTTTTGTAAAATATGTTACAAAATGTGGGCAGGCAACATTCTAGATGGGCAGGCAACTTTTATGGGTCACCTGCCCGACTGGCAGGTTAAGTTTGAAAGTTATTTCAATCACAGGTCGCCTGTCCAACCTTGTGGACATTGAAATTATTGAAATAAAATTGAACCATGTGTTAGTCTCAAAATGACCTAGTTTGTGTCGTGGATCTCTCTCTCTCTCTGGTCAGAGGATAAGATTACCCTATAGATTCCACAAACAATATTTTACTTATTTGAAGAACCGACTAAATTTGCATTTATCTACAATAACATTAAAATTAAACTTACTTGAATGATCTGGTATCTTCCTATTTGATTACCAGCTTCCTGCAATCTTCTCATCATGTTTGGAGCTAGGTATGTTTCTTTGTTGAGTAATATGACATCATCAGATCCACATGGCATCACTAACATACCCTTTTCTACAGCTATATTGCTCACTTTTCTCTTTGTATTTTGTGGCAAGTCTGACCCTACAATATAAAATAAACAGAGTGATTTTATGTTGGATTTTTATCAAACCACTTTATATTGAGAAGTATAAGCTTATTATGGGGTTTGTACTGCAATTTTGATTGCAAATTTAGCCGTTTTGATCGATTATCAAGGTTGTACAAATCGGGGTAAACTATGTTAAATTCACATTTAATATTGAAAACTTTCTGTTATTATTATGTGTAATAAAGATTTAATTTCAAAAAATAAATAACCATTTCAAAATAACCATACTGACAGTAGAATTACTATTTTACTGTTTGTGACATATGGAGAAATGCGAGAATATTTCAAGACTGAACTAACCCTGTATTAAATAATTTAACTTTGAGAAGTAAAAACTTACCAAGTAAAATACCCTCCATATCATCTGTAGCCAGATATTTATCAATTTCTTCCCCGATAATTTCGTCCATATATTTATCCAGATATTCATGTCGCTTTTCTCTTTCTCTTTCCTTTTCTCTTTCCTTCTGTCTTTCTTTATAATGTCTTGTTTTTCTTTCCGCTCGTGTTTCTTTTCTTTTACCAGATTTTTCGTCTCCATCACCATCTTCCTTATTCTCATCTTTATCATCTTCTCCTTTTTCACTAGCATCTTCAGTCTTTCCACCAGTTTCTTCATCATTTCCTTCTTCTGTTGCTTCTTCCTTCTCCTCGCCCATGTTTTCACTTTCTTCTTCTTTCACCTCGGTTGTCTCATCTTCTGCTGGATTTTCACCACCTTCCGCAGCTTTTTTTTCTTTATCTGCTTCATGTCTTAATCTGGCTTGTTCTTTCAAATCATTGAAGGTAAACAGAGGCTTCTTGTTGGGATCTATTGAATACTAGAAGTAAAAACAGACTTTTTGAGCAATGGTTACTGAACAGGGTGTGATATTGAGGCCAGAGCATTTTCAAGCATCACTGATTTTCATTAATGCTGCAATTTAATCTTAACTCAAATTTAACAAACTAATTTGTCCCAGTCTGTAGGCTTATAGAGAAAGAATGTATATAAATCTAATACAGATCGACTGATTACTTTTGTCATTTAAGTGTTTACAAGGTTATGCAAAATGAAACAAGGGCCATAACTCTAGAAGTAATTCATGGAAATTGTTGAAAATTCGAAAATACTGTTTGAATGGCATTTAGTAATTGAACACATTAAAATAAACACAACAGTTAGTATTGTGCTTGATAACGACAAGAGAATCATTGTTGAAACGTAGCTTTAATTAAATATAGTAATTGTTATCCATAGAACTGTTGTGTTTATTTTAAATTTCGAAAAGCTTCTTGGTTTCACTTATTCAAATAATGCATAAATTTAATACAGATTGGGGGAGAAATTTTGTCGTTGAAGCCTTCACAAGGTTCTTCACAGTGAAACAAGGGCCATAACTCTAGAACAGAAGTATTTAGTGGAAATTGTTGAAATTAAATAGATTAATGCAAACAAGATATATAAATTTTAAAACGATTGGATGATAAATGCAGTCTGTAGAGTGTTCACAAGAAATTCCATAAATATTCTAACTTACTCTTATTATGGTTTGAGTTTTCTTCAGCAGTTGAAGAGCTTCAAAAGCAGCCATATTCTTAGCTTTGAGTTTATTTGGTGACTTGACATCTGCTATTTTTGTTTTCTCCAAATACAACTGACATCTGAATATAAATATAAAACACATATTGTAGCTAGAAATCAGAAAATAAATGCTACAATGGCAAAATATTTCTAGAAATATGCAGACAAACTGATCTTGATACTTACCCAAGATGTTTGTTAAACTACCTAAATATGAGCATCAACTAGTAGAACTTTGCATGATTTATTGACTACTCTATAAACAACATTAATAATCAATCTGTTCAGTTTGTCTGCATATTTAGTAACAAGGATATTCAGCAAGTTTATCAATAATATTCACCATTAATGAAATACATTGTATCAACATAGCATGGAAAACAATGCAATCAACAGATATTAATTAATGATCACATAAAACCATAATGCATGACATTGTTCTTATTATAAGTCACCAACTACCTACAGCAAAGGATCAAATAGATAAACATGTACATAATGAGAGATAGAAAGAGCATTTGTTGAAAACAGGGTTGAGTCCCATCAACATGTAATCAAATCACCTTGTCCTCCAGTCATATTCAGACATTGTTTTTATTAAATACACATGTGTGTATGCATTCTGTAACTAGGGGATTGTACCAATCCATAACATACATATTACTAAATTGATCTCATATCCGTGGCTATTTTTTGATAAGAATTATACACACCACACCAATGTGGTAAACACACATCCATCGGAGATGCTGGCACGTGCCATTTTTGCTTTTCAGAATTTTGTGCGCTTGTAACACCAGAATCAATTTGCAAATTTGGTTTATAATAAATATTCAAATGTAGGAAAATTTGCAGGCTAGCAAGGAATAACTACTGTGTATTAATTTTAATTTATGTGCATCCGATCCAGTGAAATGATAATAATTCCCCAGCTCCCCTCCTCCAATAATTTGAGACAACTTTGTATCTGTTTGACAGAAAAGTTGACCATCCATCTTTTTTAAACATCGAATCATGTCCTGCTAGCCTTCTTTTATAAATTATTAAGACTTAATTTATGAGGTATTTAACCTGTCGGATTAATCTTGTCTTACGAAAAATGGTGACTCATGGAGATTTGAAACCTGTTTTCCCTGTTCCTGGAAGATTTCTGGATACCTAAAAAAGCGAAAATTTTAATTTTTATATCTTAACACTTTATTTCTCATTAAACTAAAAATAAATAAATAAAATTCTAGATAATGGCAGTTTCTTTGTTGCTCGACTTTGCCCAGACCGATGCTTGTTTAAGACTGTTCTTTGGCTCCTCTATCTTTAGAAATTATGTCTCTCATTCATTATTTCTGACCATTCTGGAAATTGTTGATTTCAATTTTAATTTTCCCTCACAGGTTAAAGTGCATTGCACATGGTTTGTTCACGGACAGGACAATTAAAATTATAAATATTTTAAGTTATGGCACCATAACATCTGTAGTTTATCTCTTCAGATACATGTAGAAGCTCTTCTTGGTACATGTATATAACTAGGACTATTCTTTGGAAGTTAGTTCATCTAAAGCATGTTCACATACTGACAAATAAATTGGTTAAGAGGCTTACATTTAAGCTACATTGGCTTAAATACTGAAGCATTATAAACAGAAGTAACTAAGACAGAAGAGAGAAGAAAATGTAGTCTACTTATTAATCCAATAAGGACTTTAAATGCAGTGCTCTTCAAAATCTCGACAGTACATGTATTAGTATTGGTATGAAGGCATCTGTTGGGACGCATACACCACTATTACTTTAGTGAAAGCTGTACAACATAGACGTTTATAATAAGATTTACTTGTTAAAAATGGTAAGTCAAAAGTCAAACTATAATATCAAATTCATAAACAGACAGTATACAAATACAGAAAAAGTATTGACTATAAAATAACTGTACAAACAATCGTAATTGTTAATACGGAAGAGTACAACTTACACTAAAATAAGATTGGTGCATACTGTCTTAAATAGTTCTTATATTTAAACACAATATGTGACTACATGTACATGTCCAAATTCCAGAAATCTGTAATTGTACAGCTGATAGCAGAAAGGACAAAATATCTTAATGTCTAGTGTGAAATACTGGGTATAGCAGACAAAAATAAAATACTATATCCAAATTACTTGTTGGACAAACCATAATAATGTTCATGATCAAATGAATCCAGCTACATGTTTACTTATATGCCAGTTATAGATGTACCTGTATACTATCGATCCCATGTATTTCTTTACCAGATTGACAAAACATCTCAAATTAAGTGTTAAATCCTGCTTTAATAAGAAAATCAACCTACCTATGAGGCATAGTGTCATCTCGACCAGATCGTACCCATTCCAACATCATACCATTCTGTGTAGCACTAATTTCTAGAGTTTTATAATAATTCTTCTTTCTATCCTCCTGATCTTCTAATATAATAATATCAGCGATATCTGATTCCTTTTCTAATGGCCATTCCCGTGCCATCTTTAAATTACTCATGTTGTTACCTACATCATGAAAAGGTCCACGATACTGAATATCAAGAAGCAAAGGGTCATTTAAATTTAGTTCAATTAAGCGTTTGCGGGTTGAGAGTAGCTCATTCATAGGAGCACCAAGGATATCATCTCGACTGTGAATAAACGCATACTTGTGCGCCTCTCTGACATCTCTACCATGGCCCCTACCCAAAAATATTTCATCGGCGTACAATTCTGCATCATAGGTCTCCAATAGATGATCATCAGGTCTTCTTTTATACACGGTGAGTGTAATACCTACATTATTACATTTAGCTGCGTAACTCATATCATGTATGGATCGAATATGAGGTCCAACTGGTAGTTCATCTCTCATCATCTCTAATCTCTCCCGTAGTCGAGGACTGAAAAACTTGTATTCAGAGCGTGGTTTTCGTTGACGACCATGACGATCTCTGTCCCGCGATCTATCTCGTCTGTCCCCCCTATCTCTGTCTCGTCTGTCCCGTCTATCTCGAGAATCTCTGTCCCTACTACCTTTGTCTCCATCTTTACTTCCATCCACTGATTCATCAAGATTCTTTGAATCATCACCTTCCTTACTCTCCTCTTTACTCTCCTCGTTGTCTTCTTGTTTGATATCCATTTTAGTTTCTGTTTCTTTCTCACCATCTTTCATTTCTGCATCTTCCTGTTTTATTTCCTTGACATCTTCACTTTCAGGTTCTTCTTTCTTAACATCTTTCGCGGAATCTGCTTCAGACTTTTCATCATCTTTATCTTTTGATGTCGAATCTGTTCTATGACGTTCACGATCTGGTTTACTACTCCAAATCTTGACAGCATCGCTTCCATTTACTTCACACATCTCATCGCCCCTAATCATACGATCTTCATTCTTCTTTGCTTCCATAACTCTGTTACTGTTAACAGCAATATAACCAAGCGTTTTAGTCATCAAAGTGTACACAGAACGATCAAAAAGATAGCTCCTAAGCTCATCTAGAGTTTTCTTGTAAGCATGTTGCAATACAAAATAGCCCAATAAAAGATGACCCCTGAAGACCTTTTCTCCGTCACGCTCTATTTCTTTATATCTCATTTCTACTTTAATGTTCAAACGTGAGCTAACAACTGCTCTAACAAGTGTCTGAGCATTGTTTGATTTAGGCTGAAAGAATAACAGGTACTCCGTAAATCTCATGACTGATTCTTCAGGACTGATCCACGAGTTGTCTCTATTGTCTCTGCTCCATCTTGGTCCTGGTGGTCCCATTTGACCCATTGGACCTGGTAATGGTGGACCAAAATTATCCTCAAAACCTCTTCCTCCTCCTCCTCCTCCAAATCTCATGGTCTCTGTAAAACAAACAATCATAAATAACCGCTTTGAAGAAGTGTAAATTATGTCAAAAAATATTTCTTCTGGCTAGTTTTGACTTTGACAGTTATAAAGGTAATGCATGTATACTCCTTCAAAAATTACTTTGGCTCAAGAGTGCTACCAAGGGCCCCGTTTCACCATACCCATCCAAGACTTGTGTACAATCAAACATTTTACCATACAACTTTATTATAGTTTTCACAGGTTCCTGTGATGATAGGTGAGTTTATACTTAACCCTTAACCGGTCATTGTCGACTATAGTCACCACAACATTATACAGCTAAGTGGTCACGGTCGAAAGTCGACCACAGCAAGAACCTTTTTTATAAGCCACATTTGAGTATTTAATTTCGTGTCAAAATGACGTCGACCGGTTAAGGGTTAAAGATGCATAATGAAGAGCTAAATCGGCCTATTGCAGGTTTATATTTTGGCTTCAATGTTATATAAATTATTATTCAGACATTTATTCACATGACAAGACAATAATCAACTCACTAGAACATTAGATGTAAACGGATTGAAATATGACTGCCATTCAATAATTTAATTTAAAAACGGAGAGGCAAGTCAGAGTTTGATTATCCAGTAATGTTGCTATAACGTCGCTCAAAACAAAGTAATTTTAATGAAATTTTTAGTATATTAATTTTGAATTATCTATTTTGGAACAACCAGCTCTTTATCTAAATCTTACATAATGCATCTTTAACAGCTTTGCATTCATCATATTAGACTAAAGGTTTATCACTTATCAATTTTTTAATGTGTGTCCTTTTGTTGAAGGGATGAATGTCAATATACAGTAGAATCTGTATTAAGCAGACACCTGCTTAACAGGAGTGACCTGTTAATAAAATCTCAGTGTTTGTTACAGCTGATTTCAAGAAAAAAAAAAAGCTTTGATGCATCCAAGCAAACATTGATACTCCCATCAGTAATTTTGGCCGTAACTGAAACTCGGTAATCCCTAATATTTGAGACCTAGAAATTGACACAAATGGGTCGCAACGCATATAATAATGTAATATGAATGTATATTAAAGTTTCTGTTTTTACTATAATTTCAAATCAGTTATGTTCGGCGAAATACGCCAGCAGTCTCAACCTAATGACAATCTCTAGCATCTGGTTATTCCAGCCTCGTTCTTAGGCCCCTTGTTACAAATGGCACTGAAACGCATTATGGTACACGATTCGTGTACCAATGGTACAATGTTTATTTTGTCTTAAATATTGGATATCAGAAGCCCATATGAAATGTTATATAAACTATTTTAATTAACTTATCCAAACCATAATCAACTCTCGATGTCATATTATTATGTGTCAGATTTTCACTGGATTTGAATCTGATCCGCTGCTCAAGCTCACTGATGATTAAATCCAAAAATGGATAATCAAGACTATGATTTTATCGTACTGACTTAAGTAATGATGATCGAGGCTAAGCTTAGAATTCAAAAGCAAATATCTCAGTTTAGAGTGGAGCAATTTGACTTAAATTTTCAACATATTCTATTTACGTTATCTATGTTTTAACCATTATAGCGAGAACTGTCAACTCTTTATCTAATCTCTCATAATTCATCTTTAAATCTCTGATAGCAACATAACGGTAATGGAAAATAGTTCCAAAACTGGGCTTTGACGGATACATAGTCAATTCACCTGTATTAAATATTGTTTTTTTACGTGTGAAAACCGTGATCAAGTTTTGTCGTTTAAGTTAAAAAAAAAAAAAAAAAAAAAGATTAAACATACATTATGCAAGAGCTAAATCTGCCAATTGCACGTCTTTCTTTAGGCCTGAAATGTTATCTAAATTATTAATTAGACATTAATTAACTTATCCAGACCACAATTTTCTGGATTAGAATCCTATCTGCTCAATGATAGGATAATTAAATCAATGATAGGTTACCAGACAACGAAACATACGCCCACAGAAGCTAAATCGTCCGGGCAGTCAACAAGAATTGTCACATATTTTTACTTTTTTCGGTAATGAAACATTTATAATACACTAAAATCTGATTAAGAGTAACAACTCAAAGTAATTATCAGAAAATCATTAGAATTTGTTTGGTTTATATAAAGTTCTGCACTATGCTAACGTTTAGTATACGAAACATTTAATATCATGGATTTAACTGTTCAAGTTACCAAAGACCTTAATCTCTGTATCAATCTAAAGTCAATCGGACGATAACTTTAGCCTCAAGATCTTCACAAGATTTCTCAAAGTGATCAAGGGCCATAACTTCCATAGTAATTGTTTGGAAATTATTGAAAATCAATAGGATTCTTCTTCTCATGACCTCAAACACTGCGTATAAATTTATCTCAATCGGATATTAACTTTAGCCTTTAGAGTTTCCACAAGATTTCTTGATGTGATCAAGGGCAATAATTACCCGAAATCGCTGAAAATCAATAGGCTTCATTGTCTCATAACCTTAAACACTGTGTATAAATTTAAAGTCAATTGTGGATGCTAGAACGGCGGATGGATGGGGCGACGACAATATGCGACCACATTTCAATGTGGTAGTATAAAAACTTGATAATCGAAACTATGTTTCTTTATTGTACCGACTTTATTACTGATGAGAGGCTAGACCCAAAATTCAATCGCTAAAATCTCAGAAAATTCTCTCTACATTATCTAATATTTAACTATAATTGGTATAATAGTGAGAACTGCCAGCTCTTTATCTAATCTCCCTTAATATATCTTTAATTAATAGACAATCACTGGTTTATTGTTATTTTAGCTAATCTTTTTACCTAAACTGCGCTACGACAACAGGACGTGTATATAAATAATGGCCGATGAATAGGAATGTTTTGATAAATTTATAACTAAAATGCAAATAATGGCCGTGTTAAAGGAGTGAGTGTTCAATAAAGAGATGAAATCAAAGAATTTGTCTGAAGGGAAATTTATTGTGGCAACTTACAAGCAAATGTCGCTGAAAAAGAGTGGCTGCTTGTACAGATTCTACTGTATTACAATCTAAGGCTACACAAAATAAATGTCTTGTTTCTCGGGCAACTGACAGCTGAAACTGTAGGGGGGGAGGGCGGTTTATTTTTTTTTTTATCTCATTTCTGGCTAGAGGATGGTGCAAAATAAAATTTGCCTATTGTTGAAAATTGTTAGGGCGGGAGGGCGGCCTTGTATATTTTTTTTTTTTTTTTTTTTAATAAGAAAGTCATTACTTGTCTACGGTTTTGCTTTCAGTTATATATTATACATACTTAGAACATAAACCCAAAAATCAAGTCTACTCAAACACTGAACACTGACTGAAAGGAAAATAATTTTCCATATTTAATTCACGTAATGTAGCTTACTAATGGTAATAGTGACAACCATAATTGAAATTGGTTTAAAATAAAATTCCGTACGACTATTAATAGCCGTCCATAATAACGACAATATTTTAAAGAGTAAGCCTCTGTCAGCATGTGTATCATCATCATCACGGTAAACGACACTTCGATCTAAATCTAGTATCGCTGGTTTATAATGATTGACCTAATTCCAACCAATGTCACGTGTCATCGGGATATGACTGTTTCTCAGGTTATTCGGTGTGTTTCTCAGGATATTCGGTGTTCTATCTGGGGTTTATATCGAATGACTATTTAAATTTAACTAACAACTCGTCAGTAAAACCATCAAATGTGTAATCCAATTATTATTTTCCGGATTATCAAAACTACCGTTAAATGTGCTAATGACCCAGATTCTGACTAAGGTATGGTGACTATCATCGTATCGTATTCGTAGCCACAAGTTATAATAATTAACCTGTTCTACGATTCATTGTTTTATAAGTAGGATTTTTTTAAACATGGACCGACTGAAGCCGGCAATAATGAGCCGATTAAGATCGAATGATTGAAATACATTGCATTGTTGTCAATGACTTTCGGTGTTTAACACGATTCAAATTCTAGTTCACAAGGGGAGGTAATTAAAATCACGTGATACAACAAGAGCATCGGTACCGCTGCAATATACGTCCACATTCCTGGGGGGTCGGGGCATGCTCCAATATAAATAATTGCTGTCTTTACGGTATAAGAAATAAATAGCAAAGTTCCAGGATGATCCATTCAAAATTGCAGCCTGCAGACGATAAACACAAAAATTGGGTGTGGCTCTGCCCCTGGGGGTGGGATATGGAACAATATAAATAGTTACAACCTATGGTGGATAATGCTAATTTGATAAAAATATATTAATAATTGTAACCTGTAGATTTTTTACAGACAAAATATTAATAAAAATAAGTTTAACAAAGGCTATCAGAAAACACTCACAAAAACCCGAATTTTACATGGGAGACAACTCTTTAAAGCATATCACGCCGAATTTTACATGGGAGACAACTCTTTAAAGCATATCACGCCAGTTTGACATTGTTAGACGGAGTTATCTCCTCCGAACCAAGTGAAACCGAAGTCTGAAATTAAATCCCAATCTGACAAAAGTACTTAATATTCTTAAAAGACAAATTATTAATAATAAATTTGGTACTAAATTATAATAACGAATGACACCCAAACATAAGACTTTTTAAAAATGTACATCCTGAAAACGCACATGTACTTGCAGTTACATGAATTTATAATTTATTTAGTGTGAGAGAGAGAGAGAGAGAGAGAGAGAGACATTGTCATTGCAGTACCAAAAGGTCTTTAGCAGTGGGAGGAAAGGGGGAGAAAACGGTGGTTTGAAACGTCAACAAATAACCGGTATAAATACTTCTAACACTTACAAAGCGTTCTGAAAAATAAGTTGAACAAAGGCTCTCAGAAACCACTCACAAAAACCCGAATGTTACATGGGTGACAACTATTTAAAGCATATCACGTCAGTTTGACATTGTTAAATGGAGTTTGACATTGTTAAATGGAGTTATCTCCCCAAAATCGGGCATGCACCCAAAAGAAAAGGGACCAACCTCAGGGTATAAGGAATATGTATTTTAAGTTTCAAGATGATCGATTTAGAATTGTGGCCTGTAGGCGACACACAAAAAGAAAATTGGCATGGCTCTGCCCCTGGGGGTTGGGCATGTAGGGCCTACTCCAAATGATAAGGATGTTCCAAATGATAGGAATGTTCCTTAGGGTACAAAGAATAAGTATATAAAGTGTGGCTCTGCCCCTGGGGGTTGGGCATGTACCCCAAACGATAGGGATGTTCCTTAGGGTACAAAGAATGTGTATGCAAGATTATAAGTTAAGAAATGTGGCCTGTAGACGACAAACAAACAAATACTAGAAATGGGCGTGGCTCTGCCCCTGGGGGTCGGGCATGCACCAAAAACAATAGGGATCTTCCTTGGGGTATAAGGAATAAGTATACCAAGTTTGAAGAAAATCCAGTAAGAATTGCGCCCTGTAGGCGACACAAAGACACACGAAAAGAAAATGGGAAATGGGCGTGGCTCTGCCCCTGGGGGTTGGGCATGTACCCCAAACGATAGGGATGTTCCTTAGGGTACAAAGAATGTGTATGCAAGATTATAAGTTAAGAAATGTGGCCTGTAGACGACAAACAAACAAATACTAGAAATGGGCGTGGCTCTGCCCCTGGGGGTCGGGCATGCACCAAAAACAATAGGGATCTTCCTTGGGGTATAAGGAATAAGTATACCAAGTTTGAAGAAAATCCAGTAAGAATTGCGCCCTGTAGGCGACACAAAGACACACGAAAAGAAAATGGGCGTGGCTCTGCCCCTGGGGGTTGGGCATGCACCCCAAACGATAGGGATGTTCCTTAGGGTACAAAGAATGTGTATGCAAAGTTTCAAGATTATTAGTTAAGAAATGTGGCCTGTAGACGACAAACAAACAAATACTAGAAATGGGCGTGGCTCTGCCCCGGGGGGTCGGGCATGCACCAAAAACAATAGGGATCTTCCTTGGGGTATAAGGAATAAGTATACCAAGTTTGAAGAAAATCCATGAAGAATTGCGCCCTGTAGGCGAACCACAGACACACACACACACACACACACACACACACACATACATACATACACACACACACACACACACAGACAGGGGCGACGGCATAATACGTTCACATTATGAATGTGGACGTATAAAAATGGAGGTTCTTTCGATATCAATAAAAAAGACCCGTAAATGAGCGTTTACATCTGAATCAGTTTAATACATTTGAATGGATATTCACGTATGGGGCATGTAGATACATGCGGCATATTTTTTTTATGACTTGCTTACCGATGTTCGGGCGGGCGTTACATATTTTTTTTTTTTCATCAAGACTAATAAATAGGCCGCTTGCGCAACCAATTTTGCGTGCGGGCGGTGCCCGAGAAACAACTTATTTTATTTGTGTTGCCTAATCCTAGACATTAACCAGTGGCTGCCAAGCAGATACGCCCACATTTTGCAAGAGATGGACAGAAAACAAGCTAAACAAAAGGAGATTTTTCATACAATCAAGGGTTATACAGATATATTTCAAGTTTCATCAAAATCGTATCAAAATTGTGACTTCTAGAGGGTGCACAACCTTGATATATTTACATTATTTGTGTACAAGGGGCTGCCATTTGTACAGCAGTTTTGGTCCCATTTTCACGAAATTCAAACTCGGCCACTATTAAAGGGGCATTAACACTCTTGCTGGCTTGACAGCTCCAGAAAATAAAAAATAGCCTTATTCTAAGTACTAGATGTGTTAAATCCAAGTCACATTTGAAAAGCTTTACTTCAGGCTTTTCAAATCATTTAGTTGAATTTTTCCAATTTTTTAAATTAGATGTGTCAAGATGAGAAATTTGTATCATCAATTAATTGGAATATTGTAAAATAGTACAATTTGTTGACCAGAATAAAGATTGGGACATATTATTCAGTTACAACAAGAGTGGTATTGAGCCTTTAAGGTGTGACGTTGATATATTCAAATGTTTTTTTTCAATCGGATAAAAATTGTTATCTCTAGATGATATATTCAAATGGTTTTTTTTTCAATCGGATAAAAATTGTTATCTCTAGAGGAACCACACGCTAAAACGTGATTTTTTGTACAATCATTGGCCATAATTCAGGAAGTTACCATCCCATATGCACGAATATCGAAAGGATCCAAGATCTATTGGTTATAAACATGCATTTCAAGTCTCATCAAAATCAGCTGAAAATTTTGACCTGCAGTGTGTCCACAAGCTAAAAACGTGATTTTTCATACAATCCGGGGCCATAATCCATGAAGTTATGGTCCAATTTATGCCAATATCGAAAGATACCAAGATCTTTGGGAGATAGACCTATATATTAAGTTTTGTAAAAATCAAATAAAAATTGTGACCTGTAGAGTGTCCACATGAAAATGTGGCCGTATAAAAATCTAGCAACTCCTTAAACAGGAGTCCACATGAAATAAATGTTTTTATCAAGCTCAATCAGAAAACAGAAGCATTTTCCTACTAACCATCTAAATGTCGCATCATGTCAGCTCTCTCTTTCAATAAGAGTTCCATTTCACCATGCATGTCTATTTCTCTTCTCTCTAAAGATTCTGCCATTTGACTTTGTTTATCTATCAACATCATCTAATAGTAAATAAAATACAGCATAACGTAAATAGACAAAAAAAAATAAATACTAACATGTTACCGGTAGTCTGAATTAATATCTTCAGAAAATCTGTATCTTCGAAGAGTGTAGATTTCATTGGATTTTATATATTATTTTTTGGGGAATTAAATTAAAGAGGTTAGACACATTATTAGATAGTTTTTCTATATGAATTGAAATTTAATAATATTCAAGATATCTGCCTTAGCAGAAATATGAGTTTTAACACCAAAACAATGTAAGACCCTACCATACATGTACATAATGTATTTTAACACATCACTCAGCCAACTTTAATTTACATAAAACAAAAATCATTACTGATCTATATAAATTATGAAGTTTAAAATTTTGATTTTTACCTGTTGGTTGATGAGAAATTCCACCTTTTTATTGAGCTCCTTGGTGTCCATATCAACCCAACCACGTCGTAAAGAATTGATGGCTGATGATGACGATTCTATCATATTTCCCATCCTGGACATATCTTTATCTAATTTAATTCTCTTCGGATTATATGGTCTACCAAGATCTGGAGCTCCTGAAGAAAAGATAATAGTACACTTGGCTCAAACACATGTATTGTATTACTATTAGGCTTATTTTAATAAATCCATGAGAAAGTTATTTATCTAACTGACTCCAACATCTCAGAATAATGAATTAAATTTTTGTCTAATTTTAAAATTCTAGACCATACATTATATTTAAACATACATTGTGCAAGAGCTAAATCTGCCTATTTCAGGTCTTTATTTAGGCCTGAAAAGTTACCTAAATTTTTAATTAGACATTAACTTATAATCTAGACCATAATCGACTCTCGATGTCAGCGCTGCGATATTTACCAATTGGATTAGGATCCAATTTGCTGCTCAACTTTCATTCATGATTAAATCATGAAATGGATAATCGAGACTATGTTTTTGATTGTACCGATTTTACTTTTAGTAATTATGATCGAGGCTAGGACGAAAATTCAATCACTAAATTCTTGGTTCAGAGTGGATCAATTTGACTGAAATTTTCAGCAAATTGCCTTTACATTATCTAGTTTTTAACTATTATAGTGAGAACTGCCAGCTCTTTATCTAATCTCCCATAATGTATAATAACATCTTTATTACCTATTCAGCTACTGGTTTTTAAGTGGAATATTGCAACCATAAAAATATTTTTTCAAATACAAATGTAAGGAACTGAACCAAATGGGCTAATTAAAATGGAAATATGCCATACTGTGTGTCTGTGGGAAATTTTGCCTGTACACAGGATTATCAAAGACAGAAATAATTCATAATAATTGTAAATTACTAATGACATAGCTTTTGTATAAAATTTGTATTGGTTTAAAATCATGTAGCTAGTCGGCTTTGAAAAGATAAGTTGACAGAAAACAAACATACACACACAGCAGCCAAGTCATCTAAGCAAGGACAATAACTCTTGACAGTAATTATATGCCAAAAACATAAAGCACCATGCATAAATTCCATGTCAATTAGATGATAAATTTAGCCATAAGTTTCCACCAGACTTTTGAAAAGCTCCTTCATCGCATGAATGCAAACTCTTTGCATAAACTGTGTATCAATCAGATCACTTTAACCGCTAGAATGTGCACAAATTTTAAACATCAAATGGCAGTAATTATCGAAAATTGTAGGAATAAACAGGTGTTTCTGCTCATGACGATAAGCAATTTTTGTATGCAAGTGACAACATAAGTATTCAGTGCGCCCACAAGCAATTGTGGACAATGGACAGGACGGTGACAACATACACGACCATAGTTCAATGTGGTCGTATAAAAGTGCATATAAGTTCTAACAATATCGGATAATATTTGCCATCAGAGCATTCCTACTTCTCACTAATGTAGTTTTTAAAAGATTGGATGATAATTGTAGTTTGTGAAGTGTTAACAAGAGTTAACTGCATGGCAAGTTACAGAAGCATATTCAATATTTGCATGTAGAAAGTAGATCTTGTCGCAATACATGTATATAAATGAAATGAAATGGGGTTTAACGTCCTACTGTTTTGCTCCGAAGTGGGCTAATGAAGACGGGCATACGCCATACAGTGTACTATGAGGAAAATTTTGCCAGGACAGCGGCACTATGGCCTACTCTTATATCGAATTCCAACTGTCAAGGGATCTTTTATGTGCACGCCAATGAGTACACGGGACCTCGGTTTTTCGTCCCATCCGAACGACTAGACAGCTGTCCTTGTCAGCCCCTCCGTCCTGCATCACTGACAAGTGAGAACCACGCCGGAAAATCGGGATGAACTTTCTCGGCCAATGCAGGGATCGAACACCCGACCTCCGGGCTAGCGAGCCAGTGCCTTACCTACTGAGCCACCGTGATCCCCCTACATGTATATAAGAAATCATGAAAACAAAATAGCAATCAAATACATGTACTAACCTTGAAATGGGTCCTTCCTTTTTGCTGTATGAAAATAAAACAATTCCATTATACTGCATGTTGGATTAAATTCACATCCTACTTATCAAATGTGATAATTGTATATGATTTTGAATTGGTTTACAAATATATCTTGATTTAAAGAAACAAAATTGTATTTTTAACACTTGGTGTATCTACATACATGTACATAAAATTTCGATGACAAAATGCCATTGATGAGAAAATATGAACAAACTTATTTGTGCATAGGTCATTAAACCATTTCAGGATTCAACTTATAATAATAGAATAAAGAATTGAGTTTTTATCAACTTAGTAATAAAAAAGGCCATATTTACTAACCTTGATCTCTATCTCTTCCTCCTCCCATTCTCCCCCCCTGGTCACTAAATCTTCCTCCCATTCTACCTCCTCCTCCCCCATCCCTCCCCCCACCCATTCTATTTCTGTCTCCACTGCCACTTCTATCATTCCTATCTCCTCCTCTCATTCCACCACCTCTGCCTCCTCCTCCTCCATAACCACTGCCTCCTCCTCCATAACCACTGCCCCCACCTCCATAACCGCTACCCCCGCCTCCATAACCACTACCCCCGCCTCCATAACCACTACCCCCTCCCCCGCTGCTTCCCCCACCAGTGCCCCCACCACCTCCCCTCTTGTTTCCAAATCCTTTATCTTGTCTGGTATTTCCAAATCCACGACCCCCCTTCTGTTCATTTCCCTTGTTGTTGGTGTTAGTGTAACCTTGGTTATTTCCATAACCTTGATTTCCATAACCCTGGTTTCCATAACCTTGATTTCCTCCATAACCTTGGGATGTGCTGTATCCCTCTGTGTTGTAACTGGACTGATCAACATAGCCTGTATTTGTAGAGAAAGCTGCTGTGTTGGCTGTATATGCTGTTTGGTTGTTACCAGTACCTGTGCCAGTTCCAGTATTGGTAGCCCCTGTGTAAGCATTGGCCTGATTATACCACTGATTTGCTGCAGCTGTGTTATAGTTAGAGGCGGTTGCGCCTGTGTTAGTTCCTGCAGACCAGTTCGTCTGATAAGCTGTATTACTAGTATCCCACTGGTTTGTAGAATAAGCTGCATTACCGGTATTGTACATCTGCTGTGCTGCATTTGACCAATTATTGTTATATGCTTGGTATGCAGCAGCTGCTTGGCTCCACATCTCTGCTGTGGAAGAAGCAGCAGTTGTGGAACTGACTGCACCAGTTGTGTTTGTCGATGCCATCTTGTAACTTCTGCAAAGAAGTAAAAAAAGAATTAGCATCTGCCCACCAATATTTCAAGCCACATGTATAGTATCTAGATGCCCCAAAAATGTGCAATGCAACAAATCTGGGTGGTCGACAAATTCTGGAGTCTATTCTTCAACTGCTCTCCAGATAGGAATATGGCCTCACCGTTTGACATGACTTGTGGAATATGACTAGCCTCGTTCACCACTGTTGATTTAAATTTACAAATAATTTGTGTTTTCAATATCATCCTAATTCGACATTGAAAACGATGAAATGGGGTTTAACGTCCTACTGGAGCAGAACAGTAGGACGTTAAACCCCATTTCATCGTTTTCAGTGTTGAAGAATTAGGATGATATTATTGAGTTAGATAGAGACTAAACTACTTTAAGTGTGAATTCCGATATTTTGAAAGTGAATTCCGGTGTTTACGTTTTAAATGTGAATTCCAGTGATTTTAGGTGTTTTAAAAGTAACTTATTAATGCACAATATTACTAGTGAGTAGTGAATAGGAATTAGTATAGCACTCTTAAACAACTAGTTTGTTGGATATTCAGTGCTTTATAAATAGATTATTATTATTATTTACAAAGTCTTAAGTTGTGGATTCTGATAGTCTAAAAGTAAATTCCAGTGTTTATGTTTTCAAAGTGAATTTCGGGGATTTAATAATAAAAATAATATTGTCGTTTATAAAGGGCGTTGATACTGAAGAAAACAGTTTCTAAGGCGCTGTTGGTTTTTATATTAACTGATTATTTACAGATCAGGGTTTTGAAATAAGAATGTTTTGAGTTGAGATTTAAAATGACCCACAGACAGTAATTGTTTCATTGATGGTGCTAGTCTATTCCATAGAAAAGGACCAGCATAAGAAAAGGCATGTTTTCCAAGTTGTAAGTCAATGGCTGGAGATTTTAGAAGATGTTTTTTCTGAGAACGGAGATTTCTGCTAGTAGTATAGGGTTCTACAAGACTTTTTATAGAAGATGGAGCTTGGTCGTTTAACGAAGAGGAGTAACTTGAACTTAATTCTTTGCTGAATTGGGAGCCAATGTAAAGATTGCAATACAGGGGAGATGTGTTGATGTTTTCTAGTTTTAGTGAGGAGTCAAGCTGCTAAATTTTGAACATGTTGTAGTTTGTTAATCTGATAGTCTGGTAAGCAGTATAGTAAACCATTGTGGTAATCTAGTTTAGCTGAGATGAATGCGTGAATGAGTTTTTCTTTATTTTCATAATTGAGATAGCATTGGATCTTTCCAATTCGATGTACATGTCTATGATAGAAGGCAGTGGAGCAAATACTTTGTTGTATGTGATCTTTAAACGATAGGTTCGAGTCTAATATAGCACCAATATTTTGAGCTTTATCGGTTCCTGAAATTATTTCTTTATCAAAATTAACTAATGTTTGATCAATTTTTCAGAGTTGTTGCTTGGTTCCAATTACTGTGTGGTTCCAATTTTCGGTGTAGATAAATGTAAGATACATGTAGGAAGATCTTGATATCTTCAAAGTGAATTCCGGTGATTAGTCTACCCCAATAACAACAGGTACATGTATCACAGATTTTCAAACATTATCACAACTGAAATAGGGGGGGCCTCAAAAAGACATTCACAACATCTTTAGTGCATGTATTTTGGTATCTAAATATGCCTGAATGTACAAAATGGATGAAAATAAAAAATAATGACTTTGGAATTTAAGTTACATGTACAGGGTAAACAACACAAGATGGAAATAACAAAATCTCACAGAGATGCCTGATATATGCTACAACCAACAAGACTTCAAATTTTGAAAACTGTTTCTTTTACTTAGTAAATGTACACCAAGTCCATTAAGAAAAAATTGTTTTTTCCAATATCCTCCATTTTTGTCATGCGACTACTTTTAGACTTTTTGTATGGTGTACCATCACATTCACAAAACATAATCTGGATTAAATATTTAGAGTCTATGTGATGGAAAATAGTAAATACAGCATCAAAATTTCCTAGAAGTAGAAACTGCTTTTGTGTTGAACTATTTTTGAATTGAATGGCAGACAAATGCTAACATATTTTGTATATGTTCTTGAATCACAAAATTCTACTTGAAAATACAGTTGAATTATTATAAATTTGTGTCAGTAGCGTGTACCAAGCTCAAGGGCACTTAACTCTGTTTGGCTTAATATTTCGTCAAAAAACTGGTTATGATTTTAAGCGAAAAAGTACACTGTAGGTATTGAATTACGTCTGACCGTACCTTTATTTTGATTGGAGGATGATGTTTTTGAGAATGTGATGCCTGCAGAATATGACAATTGGATCCATATCAGGTGAGTGGAACAATTTTTCTAGAATTTTAAAAAATTCAAATATTTTCCATTTCTTTACGTATGAATATTCCAAAATAATTTTACGATTTTACGACACTTTAGAAAATATTCTATTCATAAAAAATTAAAAAACAAATTGTCATGGACGTAATCATGCGTTAAATTGAGAATTAAGAAAAAATAACGGTACATGGCTATACCGGAAGATGAATATCTATCGTGGATGCCTATGGCCAGGGACATTACATTGCCAATGTAATTAATTACATTACCATTACTTTCTAAATGTATTCATTACAATTACTTTCTCATTTTTAGCAATGTAATTAATTACCATTACCTATTACATTGAAAGTAATTAAAGTGCACATAAGATGGTCCCGGAAGATTTGAGATACGTGTAGCCAATGGTTACTTTATCCACTTTACGGCAAGTTCACGCCAATCTGGTTGAAATTAATTCAGTTATCTTCATTCAAAGTCGTAAAAATAGACTTTCCATAAAAACGGCTTTGCCTATTATCGAAAACACTCTTAATCCCCTCAGGCGCCAGTGATGTCACAGTGACCGAATGCATATTCGGAATGTTTATTCCTCAATTACCTATATACATGTACATCCGGCGTGTGGATTCCTTAATCCCCCTAATTAAATAAAACAATTGACTACGGAATAATTTGTTTTGTAATTCATTTTAATTTAAGATCCAAGTTAGAGTGCCTACAACTTTTAAACTTTGAAGTCCTGAACTCTTAATTATTTTTTTACAATATGGAACTTTATGGACGAACACTTTTAATATGTAAAAAATATACGGGTCCAGTTATGTGGTTTTTACTGCGAGCACTTCGCTTTTCCACATAAAGTGTAGTGTCGTTAATATCTGTCATTAATTAATCAATCCGACTATAAAAGTTATACAGGCATGGGTCATAAATTAATTTCAAGTTGGTGTTAGCAGTGAGTGTTAGTGGGATTAAGAATGTTGATTAGGTAATTATGTTTTTTTACGCCGGCCAGATCAAAGACATCACTCTCAGTGGAATGTGTGCGTAATACCTCACGAACGAACTAATGGTAGAATCATACACACACACATTAATTGTATAAAATAAATTAAGTTTTACTAATAAGTTGTTTAAAATTACTATATACCCAATAATTATTGCTCACCGGTGTTTTTGTAATCAAGTAGCCTCGTATTGTTTGTTGATTGGCGTTTAAACAACATTTAATTGATGGATGGATTAACGTTTTTGATACGATTAGGTTATAATGTCTAACATCGGTTATCTTCTTTATAATAAAAGTATTTTACAATTGCATCTCCTATTTTAACTTTCATTATGACAAAGTGAGAAGATGACCCGCCCTCTCTTCCCACGACAAAGATTTTCAAGCCATTTTTAAAACCGTGTTTTAAAGTGATTTTTAGATATACAAGAACTTTTAATTATTCTAAATCTGTTTTAAAGTGACGTTTAGATATACAAGAACTTTTTATTATTTAGTGTTTTTACCCAACTTCTATTTTTTATTTAAGTAAATAACTTAATCAAATCAACCTGTCCATAATAATATTATTTAAAATACAGATGTGACGTCATCCTTTGATGTTGGAGTACCATTATTTCAAATAATCGTATGGGCAATGTGCCAAGCGTAACTTGGGAAAATATTGAACTCGAGTGACGTATTTCATTGCAAAGAATGTGCAAGTGTCTGTATTTTAAGTTGTTTAACCTTATTTTACTGCCATGCAGCGCCTAAAAAATCAAACTCAAAATAATCCTTGATTCACTTAATAGATATTTGTTTATGAATTGTCATTTCTAGCAACTATAACATCAAGGCAAATTTAACAAATGAACCATGTTAAG